TACCGGGAATCGAACTCACGACCTCCCGCTTGCCGGGCAGGCGCTGTGCCGCTGAGCTAAATCCCCAGCCCCCTGCAGCAGACTTTTAATTCCGCCCATTTTCAGCCCCTGACCGCACTCTTGCCTTCCGGCTGCCCCACGTCCGGCCCCGCACGGGTTCTGCTAGGCTCAGCGTTTCACACCTGTGTCCGCTGCTGCGAGCAGCCGGCTCGCTGGATCAGTCGCGATCCCCACCAGCCTTCCACCTTGGGAAACCGGCCTGAGAGGCTAAGAGCTTTATGAGACCTTCCTCACCTCGGTTACGGTAAGAGGAAGGAATTCAGCTGTTTTCCTTGTTGCCCCGCCCCGCCCCCGCCGGCCCGGCCCGTCTTCTGCATCAGAGTAGATACGACTGTCACAGTTGCTCAGCCAACAATCCAGGCGTCACCCTTGGTTTTGCTCTTACCCCCACGCACCATTTCCAGCGCACTGGTAAAACCGTAACGCCCCCGCCTCCAACGACAGCGCAGGTCTGTCCAGTCTCCACTCCACGTCCAAGTCAGTGCCCGAGCCAGAGCTGTGACCGCTGCCGGGGGCCACAGCACGGCCGCGCTTGCCCTCCTGCTTCCCCGCAGCCCGGACATGCGCGCACCCTGCTGCCTCTGGTGCGATCCCGTCCAGCGGTAAGCAAGGCCGCCCCGCTCCTGCATTTGGCCTCCCGTGACTCCCCTCTATTCTTGGAATGGAGACCCAAGCCCTTCACAGGGCCCATGGCGCCCACCCCGAGCCCCTCCCCTTGCCTCCCCCCGCCTCACACTACTGCACCTGCTGCTGGCCCAAATGGGCGCCCGGTGCTCGACTGGATCCTCCTCATCCTTCAGTTCTTTGGGCTAAACCACCTCTTCGGAGACGCTTTGCCCCGGACCCACCTGCAGTGCACACTTCAGCCACCCCTCCCACCTTCTTCCCTGCTGTATATTTATCCAGAGGCCTCCTGTGCCCTGTGGCAGATACAGGATGCCCAGGGGGTGTAGGACTTTTGGAGGGGCCCAGGTCACTTCTCACCCACCCCATCTTTTAACCAGTATGAACCAACTACAGGCAATTGACATGCTTAACTGTGAAACCCAGTTCAGGGGTGAAACAGATTTCCTCCGGGAAGAAGTATCACTTCTACACCCCTCCAGGCCGGGGGGCTCGCATGCTCCCTGGAGGCCGCTACCGAGGCAGGCGCTGCGTGTGCCCTTAAACCACCTCAGTGACAATCTGCGACTGCAAAGACGGTCTGTCCTTCAGCCTAATTCACTGCTCTAATAGCACCATCTACCCCGCCGCTCACCCCATAATTGCACAGGAAATGGTCTCAAAATTGTCCTTGAGAGACTGGACATGACTCCTACCCACTGGGTTTGGCTGGAGGCCCAGACAAGCACTCCTCACATCCAAGGCTGAGCGCCACGGTCACAGGCTGGGCCAGGGCCCAGGCAAAGGATGTCAGGTGGGGGCTGGAGACAGGACTGACGCGACGACTTCCCAGTACTCTCTGTCGCCAGGAAAAGGAGGGAGAGGATGCTAGCTTTTTGTCTGTACGGCTGGGTTTTGGGGTTTTGTTTTTTCTCCATGCCATGGCTTTTATTAAAAATCACAGCCACATTCAGGAACCAGGATGTTTAATCTAACCTAGGGTAGTATGTTAGTTATTTGTGGCTGCGTAACAAATTACCCTCACATCTAATGGCTTAAAACCACACACACTGGTTGTCTCAGAGTTGCTGTGCTCGGGAGCCCAAGTGGGGCCTACTTAGCTCCTCTGTTCAGGGTCACTCATGGGCTTCGGGGCACCCCCAGGGTAAGGGAGTAAAGGACCCCATTCCAACATTCCAGTCCAGGCAGCTACTGAACCAGGGGCCTCGGTTCCTGCTAGCCACTGATACAGCCGCTCCGAATCTCCGCCCCGGGGTCTCTCCTCCACAGCCTCCTCAGAATGCTCGGCCGGCAAGGCCTCAGGGAGAGACAGCGGGCAAGAAGCGGGCCGCAGTGCTTTGCAGCTTAATCACAACCGCGACCTCCCACCACTGGTGCCATTTCCCATGGGCAAGAACTAGACCAGCCCACACTCCAGGGGAGGGCATCCCACCACCAGGCTCAGCGTGGGCATCCCTGGGGCCATCTGAGCAGTCCACCTGCCACGGGTAGAGCAAGGATCCACCCGTAACGGGCAGTAGGCCACGGTGGGCGTGCCTTTGCTAGTGCTGGCGCCTGATTAAAGTCTTAGGATGAGGATAACCCATGGGAAATGCAGTCAGGACGACCTACTGCCACCACAGCTTTGGAGATAATGAAGCAAATCTGTCCTACCCCTACCCGCTATTTCCTTCCCTTCACCCCCCCCATAATAAACCCACCCAGTACTCTTAGGTGGGGTGCAATGGACTTGGTTAGTAACTGAATGCTGTCATCTGTGGCTTGCTTCTTTCTCCCAAGATCCATCCAAATGACAGTGAATGAATGTAAAATGGTTTTCACTTCACTTCAGCCGTTTGGTCCAGTCTGAGCCGTAGCAGCTGTGAGTTCAGCATGGTTCTGGGGGATACGGAGCCAGCAGAGCGAGCCCAGGCCAACAGCACAGGAAGGAGCCCCATTTGGGAAGGCTCCGGGGAGCCCCGCAGAACCAGGCAAGGGTGCAGGCCTGTGGGAAGGCCAGGTCAGCAGCCGCCAGATTAGTTAAAAGGCAACGTAATAGTCAAGGTTGCCTAGCTTCCGGTCTCTGTGCACTGCTGTGGCTGCCAGCTGCCAGCGGTCCCTCCACTGACCGCCCCCGGGGCAGGTATGATAAAGCGAGGGACGTTAACTGAGCTAGCAGATTTACCACCCTTCAGCTCAGCCAGTGACAATAAAGAACGCTTAGAAGGGCCTTAATTGGGGTGGAATGTAGCCCAGTGGTAGAGAACTTGCCTCGTATGGGCAAGGCCCTGGGTTCCATTCCCACTACCCCCGTTTCCAACACATACCCCTGAAGCCTTAATCTGCAGGGCAAAGAGCAGAGAACGTAAAAGGATTCCACCGTAGACAAGGCTGTTGTTCAAACTTGGAAAGCAAGAGGCTATGACTGCTAAGCAGGGTTTCACCCAGTGTCTCTCACAAAGCCCCTACAAGACCAGTATTAGCTGGTAGCAGAAAGGCAGGAGTGAGCCCGGCTTGGTGGTGCACACCTGTAATCCCAGGGCTGCAAGTTCAAGCCCAGCCCAGGCAATTTAGTAACCTAGTGAGACCCTGTCTCTGGACAGCAGAAGGGTGGGAATGTAGTACAGTGTAAAGGCCCTGTGCTCAATGCCAGTACGATCAAGAAAGGTATGGAAAAGAAAACAGGGGTGAGGGGGAGAAAGGAAAAGCAGGACGGTTACAAGTTTCTCTACAGAAGGTGGGGCCAACACCCAGGTCCTCCCCAAGGACCGCACAGCCTGGCTACCTCCTTCCACCTGGCTGCAGAAGTCACGTGGAGTTCCAGGGTTGGGGACCTGGGTCAAAGCAGGGGGCTGGGGCAGGAACAGGGCAGAGCAGGAGAAAACATGAAGTCAGTGCCTGCACTCGAGCCTGAGTTCCTTCCCACTCTTTGTTCCAGGCCCAGTAGGAAAGCGGAGGATCCATGTGTCCTAGTGTGTTTTCTGTTGCTCAAACAAAATACCCGAAACTGGCAAGTTTATAAAGTTTACTTGGCTTATGGCTCTGAAGCCAGGGAAATCCAAGAGCTGGGCCGTGTCTTCTCAGCATCCGGCGGGGGCCTTCTTGCTGCGTCAGGGCATAGCAGAGGGCATTGTGTGGCAACAGAGCAAGTGTGCCAGCTCAGGTCTCTCTTCCTTTCCTTGTTAAGGCACAAATGCCACAGTGGGGCTCCACCCTCACCACCTCATCTGATCCTACCTGCCAAAGACCCTACCTAAATATATTCCTCTTACATTCAGTTTTGCGGATCTAGTTTCTAACACTTGAACTTTTGGAGGACACATACAAGCCACAGCATTCTCCTCTAGAGTAACCGGGCACTTGAGAAGAGACCCCTGTGAAGTGACGCCTGGACCTCCGTGAAGGGTCCTCTGACAGCAAGGGCCAGCAGTTCTGCCATGCATGTCTCTCTGGAACATGGAGCCCCAAGCTTGCAAAGAGCTGTTCCTTTCGTCCTTGTGTTCATTTCTAAGAGCCTCACAGCTGCCTCCTTTCCTGCTGGGCACCCACACTCCGGAGCCTCATCTTCTACCAGCAGCTTGGGGCCCTGGTGTGGGGCGACCCAAGAAGATCCCAGACCCAGTGCAGAACCTGTGGGATGGGTTCAGACCAGGGAATTTCCTCTCCGTCATTCTCAGAGCCACAGCCCCAACGCCCAGGGCAGCGGATGGCCTTTGTTTGCTGGTTGGCCTGATGTCAAAAATGGGGGGAGCTGGCCCTCAGCTCCTGTCTACGCTGGCACTTACTCAGACCCCTCGCCCTGGCAGCAAACTCGGCGCCACCGCCAGGCTCCGGAGCAGCGGGCTGCAGTCCTGCCCTGTGTTTCCCACCTCGGTTCTGTTCCTCGCCTAACACTCGTTTGTCTTGTGTTTGAACCAGCCTTTGGGGTGCTTTCTCCTTTTCTTCTTCTCTTTTTCCTTTTCTTCCTTCTACTTTGTGTGCCTTTACTGTACTTGGACATCTGGGAGCCCCTGGCTCCTCCTGGGGCACACCTGCCCCTGAATGCACACCCTCCAGGACGCCTTCCCCAAAGCCCCCCACCCCACAGCTTTCTCTACTCCGCTCCCACGACAGCCGTCTGAAGGGGCAGGGGGCACTGAAGTGCAGGGAGGCAGCAGCCAGGGCTGCAGCCACGATCCCTGGACAAGGACTCGGCTGCCCGTCCCCAAGTGGAGCTGCGTCAGGTACCAGCACAGGGCTTCTCCCAGCCAGCAGGGCGGGGGGTGTGCGCTCTGTTGATCCTGGCAAGGGAGACCTGTTACCTGAAGGACAGGGACACAGCCACACAGACCACCACCCACGGCTGCGACTGTTTATTGCACAAGAACCTGGCACTCCCGATGCAGGGGCGGGCGTTACAGAACAATCCGGGGACCAGCCCAGTGCTATCCCAGGCCGTTCCACACCGACACTTCAGCTGTACACACACGTATGCACACGCACACACAAACACACGAGAACACCCGTGAGCCTCATGCTCCTGCGCCTCGCTGGCAGCCTGTGCCCCTGCCCACCTGCTGGAGTAGGCTTCGTGGGGACAGGTCCTGGGCAGTACCAGAAGTGACTGTGAGGGGGGAAAAGGCCAAGCCACAGTGAGCAGGGCCACGCATGTCAGCACATGCAACGTGGGTGGACACGGCTCTCCCTCCACGGACCCGGGAGGAATGAGACGTGGGAAGGCGAGACCGTCCTTGAAGGCTCCTGGACGGATCTGAGAGCCAGCCTGGGGTCCCCAGAAGCTGGTCTGCAGCTGGGGCTCTGGACTACGGAGTGTGCCACCACCATTACCCCAACATCCGGAGGAGCCTGCACGCCTGGAAGACCTCAGTCCACGGCAGAAAGCCCAAGGCGGAGGCTGGCGGGAGATCCACAAACCAAGCCAGGCCGGTGCAGCAGCTCGGCACTGGTTTTCAGTGGCATCAGGCCCTGGGTGCAGAGAAAGCCTGGCATCTATGCAAAGCGAGCACGCTCAGCTGGCCAGGATATGTGCCATTCTACGGAGGGGACTAATGGCCACCTGGATCTCTAGGGCTGCCAGGGAGGAGCAGTCAGACTCCGCTGCTGCTCCCAGCGGCCCCCAGGGGCGCTATCTAGCAAAGGAACTCTTCCCTAGGAAGGCGCAGGCTGGGAGTGGCGCTCAGGACACCAAGCCCTTCCTCTGCGTCAAGCTCAGGGACTTGGCCACTGGGCAACTGAGCGGCTGGGTCAGGCCTGCCTGAGCGCGAGACTGCTGAGCGGGTTCCTGAGAGAGGCAGCTGTTTGGGAAACTCTTGCGCCAACAAGGCCGGGTCTCCCATGGCCCTGGGACCCCTGGGGCTCCACCTCCTCCATAGAAAGTGGCAGCAGCACACCAAAAGCAAACAAAAAGCAACCCTACACAGAAGGCTTCAAGTTTATGTAAAAGGACAACTCTGAGGGAGTTTACTGTTTCCTGCCCACTGACCCCCAGGCAAGTGGCTTGTCCAACCCTTTGTCTGCGGAGAAGGGACAAGCTGGGGCCCGGGTCCCTGCCACCCAGCCTCCTCAGAGCCGTGTCTCACACAGACCTCCGGGCTCTCTCAGTCCACAGCAGCCACCACAAGTGACTGCTTTCCTCCTCTCGCTAGGACGTGAGGCCCGGGCTGCTGCTGCACGCTTTGGGACAGGCACCTTCCCTCGCACACTCACGCGCACCCGGGTTGGTCCAAGGGGAGGGGAGAGTTTTGCAGAGAGAGGGTCACCCTTGGACTTTGCAAGGGTGATGGGGCCAAGGTGACTCGGGGCTTTATTCCAGACGGCCACCTGCAGGTAGGAGGGAACTTCTTCTGCCACCAGGGGACGACGCTGTGGTCCCAGGCAGGGGCACCATCCGTAGGGACCTCCTGAGGGCCTTGCGGCCAGTGCGCGCTCAGACAGGGAGGACTCGGGACTACATGTGCGCTGGGGGGCTCGGGAGGGGCGGCCTCAGTTACTCCTGTCCAAAGCCCTCCGTCTCCTCGATAGCATACAGCAGCTTCTCTTTCAGCTGTTCGTAGCTCTTATAGGGTGGGAGATCCAGACGGTTGAAGCTGTGGAGAGGGGAAGCCAGAGGAGTGGTCACAAAGGGCCCAAGGAGCTCAATGGCTGGGAGCCCACAGCTCCAGGAGCAACACGCTGCCAGGCCAGACCCAGCCCAGGGCCCGGGGACCTCTGCGTCGGGCTTAGCCCTGCAGGCTCCTGGACCCTCGGGGAGTTAGCACAGGGAACAGCGCCGAGGGCGCGCCGGGTGCGGGCACTTGGGGTAGCAGCTCTTGCCCAGAGGAACAGGAGCAGAGAGGTTAGAGGCCTGAGGCAGAGGCAGACTCGACCCGGCCCCACCTCTCCACCCCAACACCCCAGAGCCCCGCAAATGCTGTCAGAGCAAGGCCCTGAAGTTGCCACGGGCACTGTGCCGTAAGGAGCTCATTGTTCCTGGAGGCTCCACCACCTCCCACCCAAGCAGCCTGCTCACCAGGTGTGGCTTCGGGGCAGCCAGGTTTCCTTGCCAACCTTATCAATGCAGAACTTCTGTGGTCCGTTGCTCCCTGTTATCCAAGGTACAGGCACCTTGTCAGCAGGGCCGGCTTTCCCAAAGCAGGACCCTCACCCCAGCCAGGGCACCAGCGGGATAGAGAAAAACGCACCGATGAGCTCGGCAAATCCCCCGACAGGCAGGCGGCAGGTGCCGGTAACGAACTGCAGCAGCCGGATCCTCTTCTCATTGTCCATCTCCTTCACCACCTGGAAGGCCACAAGGCACAGTCCGGAGACCCACCCAGCCCGGTGCTTCACCTTAACTGCTGCAGGCCAGCGGGGCCCGCTCTGGGCGGGGGACACAAAACCATGCCGGGCAGACAGCGACAACCAGACAGCCAGGAGAGCTCAGCCATGCTTCCTCCAAGAGGCGGTGTCTGTAGAACACCTGTGCCCGGCATGGGGCACCTCTTGGTCTCAGGGGGGTTTCTTCTTGGGGAGATGAAATGTTCTGAGATTAGCGGGATAGGCCCACAACACTGTGAAGGTACCGGAAGCTGCCGGATTGTATATCTTAAAATATTTATGATGGTGAGTTGCATTTTATATGAATCTCACCACCACCAAAAAATTCATATGCATATACACTAAGGATATCTGATATAGTTTTTTTTTTGTATATGCTATACTTCATAATAATAGTGGAACCCACGCAAATATAAAGGAATTGGGTCACTGAACCCTAGGTGACAAGCTCATTCTGTTTTTCTGGAGCCAATGCCCGCATTCCCGTCCCAGCTGGTGGAGGGAAATCAGAGGGCCAGTGGCACCTGTTCCTCTTGCCGGCAGACCCCCTGGCCCCCACCAGCCGGCCCCAGGCTGACCACTGACAACCTCCTGTCACAGTCCAGCTTCAGTTCTCCCCGCGGCTGGGTTCATCATCTCCTTCTGCAAGGTGGGGAAGGCAAGGCGTTTCAAAGGGGAAGGATCCTTAAACCTGAGGTCTGATCAGGTCCCGTTTCCTTAGAGTGGCTGTGAAAAGGTCCCTGCCAAGATGCCTGGCCCCAGCTCAGCAGGGACAGGACCCAGCACCCACCTGCCAGAACCACTGGATCTGTTTGCTGTTCTTGGTGTAGTGCCGGTAGATAGTGTTCTTCTGCCAGTCACTCATGTCGATCTCCTGCATGCCGCACAGCATGAGCTACAGGGAGGAAGGTGTCAGGGGTGTCAGTGACCCAGCGCCAGCTCTTTTCTGGGCCAGGCCTTGGCCCCTGTGATCCCTTAGCCACTGGCTACCAGGCGAAATACTCCAAAGCTCTTCAACTGGCTATTTCTGCTGGAAGTTTTACTACTTTTTTTTTTGTACCGGGAACAGAACTCAGGACCTTGCGCTTGCCAGGCAGGTGCTTATGCCACTGAGCTAAATCCCCGGCTGGAAGTTTTACTGGTAGGGGGACACAAGTCCCTGCTCTCTCAACACAAGTGGCCAGGGAGAGTGAAGGCTGAAGACCCTGAAGAAGACCATCTGCCCTTCACCTCCATTCTGCTGGAGTCTGGGGTTCGGTTAGGGGGTTTCTCTGGGTGCACAGGAGCACATCAGAGCTGGAGCGCACCAGAGGCAGGGCTCAGGGTCCCAACCCTCAGCACTCACCTCTAGCTCTTTCTCATCAAAGTAGCGCAGCCACTCCAGCGGGGCCACCTCATTGAAGCCATCCAGGAAGGCTTTGGTCTGCTCTTCCACGCCACGGGTGAAGCGCCAATCAGTCAGCAGCCTAAAGCCAAAGACCAGCCACTGCTGGAGCCGGCACCCTGCCCAGACGCAAGCAGCCTGCCCGCCCAGGGGGCGACATTGGCACCTTCCGGCACACCTAGATCAGTGCACAGAAGGCCCCAGAGCAAGGCCCTGAAAACCTCTCGGTGACCCCACGATACTGCGTCTTTGAACTCGCACTGCCCCTCCCCCACCACTCACGGAACTGCCGATGTGCGCGAGTATGGAGATTAAGGGTTGCACCAAGGCCTGCGGAACACGCGGGGAGGTTTGCCCAGCCGCACACACGGGGTGGCGGATTTACACACTCGGGACACACAAACTCTCAGCCAGGAGAGGCGGCGACAACGCCTCTTCAAATGGAATTCCCAGGAGGCAGGAAGTCTCCCGCATGGAAGAAGACCAGCCCGGAGCTGCTAACGACGGACCTGGCGCTCCGGCTCCCCTACCCCGTTGCCATCACGGCACCAGACACAGGCCGCCCACCCAGGCAGGCCCAACTGAGAGGTTTCTGCACCACACAGAGACCTACGGGCCCCAAGTGGGGACCTGGCCAGTGAGGGGACCCCAGACCAGAGCAGAAAACCCCTTCTCTGCAACCCACCGGGTCCGCCCCCGCCCCCGGCTCACATGATGTACTCTTCCTTGTTCTCCTCTGTGACACGGATGCTCTCGCCGCCCTCCTTCAGCTCGTGGGTCGTCACCTTGCCCAGGATCTCCATGTCCTGGATGAAGAACAGCTCCAGGCCACACTCTTCTAGGTTGTTCTCTCTGGGGGGCAAGATGTCCACCTTGGCAATGTCTCCCTCGGTCCTGCCCCACTCCTCGCTTTTAGCACCCCCAGGGCACCAAGGCCTCATCGGTGACCTAGGCTCCCGAACGGTGGCTCGGGACATCTCCAGGGGCAAGGGGGGAACTGGCCCGGAGGAGCTGCCCGTCACCATAGCCCTAGGCGGGGCGGGACAGTGGAGTCACACAAGGCCACGGTGCCCACGACCCAGCCAGAAGCCCCGCTTGCAGGGCACGCAAGGGACTCACTTGATCCAGAGGATGGAGTTGTAGAACTCAGGGTCGATGGATTCCAGGTCTTTCAGTGTGGGTCTCTTGTTGAGCATCCGCTTGTAGAAAGGGAGGGTGAAGCCCGTGTCGATGAACTTCCCGTGGTACAGAGCCTGAGGAGGGAAGGCCTGGCTAAGCGCTTTGGGACAGCATCCGGGGCAGGCACTGGGTGTTGTGTCAAAGGCCGCTGCTCCTTCTTCCCTCCCTGACCGAGCCTGAGCTGCAGCTGCCTCGGGGGCCCTAGGCAGAGTCTGGGAAAGGAGTTCTTCGTCCTGGCTTGGAGTCGGAGGGGAATCTCATCTGGCCCTGCAGCTACAGGGACGCTCCCCGCCAGGCCGCTCCGCTCTAGCAGAGGCCTGCGCCACGCTCGCAGGGAAGACTTGCTCAGAACAGTCCAGGTGGCAGCCCTGACTCACTGGGGCTCCAAGCTGCTGGCAGAGGCGGCCAAAAATAATGCAGACGCCGTGGAGGGCGCGAGCTGGCGGCCAGCAGTGAGTAATAGTCTAGGGTTTCATGGGTCTGTCCCGTCAGCTGCTGGCCCAGGCGGGTCTCTAGACCTGGGACGAATGTGCCCACTTTCAGAGCCACTACCTTGGCCAAGAACTTCTAGACAAACCAAAGACCATATTTAGTCTCAGACCCTTCGGGACCCCAGGCCCTCCAGAGGGGAGCAGGGCAGGGCTCACAGCACTGAAGTTTCCAGCCAGCTCCTCTGCTCAGAGCTGGGTCCCCACTTGCAGAGGACTCCACAGGGGACATGGCACAGCCCCTCGTCACGGCCACAAGGGGTCCCTATTTCTAGCTAAATAGATGTGTGGGCCCCTCCTCAGGACGGATGCCCCGACCATGCCAGCCCATCTGCTGGGGTCCTGTTCTAAGCCCATGGGGATTCCAAGTCCCTTCCTGAAAGCCTGAGGGTCTCAGCCGGAGCTCCCACCCATGGCTTGTGACAGAGAGTGGCGCCTTCCAGAGACAGGCAGCATGCAGGCAGCTGTAGCTTTACTCAGCCACCGTCCCAGTGCCACCCGAGAGTGCACACTGACACTAAGTCAAGTCCGCGGCCCAGGGTTCCACCTGACAAATCGTACCCCTATCAGCGCAAGACACCCTCGAGCACCCCGGAGGAAGCCTGGGGTTCCGCACGGCTCCCTGCAGCTTTTCATTCTTAGAAGCTCTGTGAGGAAGAGGTGGGCAGGCCCAGAGAGAAGGCGCTGCCCCATCTGGAGGTCTCAGCAAAGCCCCTCATACCTCACTGGACGAAGAAGAGGAGAAGGAGGAGACGGGTGCCCCTGGCACTGGGGACCCGGGAGCCCTTACCATGGCGATGAACCTGCCAATGAAGCGGAAGTAGGTGAGGTGGTCGGGGTTGATGGAGGAGGCGGGGTTGATCTGCAGGCAGTAGTTGTTCTTCCCGGCGTACTCAAACAAGCAGTACATGGGGTTGAGCACCTCGTGGGACAGGAGGAAGAACCACTCTCTAGGGGCAAGGAGAGAAGAAAGGGGACGATGCACCCCCCGCACACCCACATGGCACTCGCGGCTCTGCCGAGTGGCTTGGGTAGTCTGGAGTCACAGGCTCAGGAGCTAAAGCCCCGGTGACCCGTGCCCGGGCTGACCTGTCTCTCCAGCTGGTCGGGGAGCCAGCCTGGCTCACACCCAGGGTGAACCAGCACAAGGGCACCTGGGGATGGCGCTGAGGAAAACCTGCATGTGTGCCCGTCAGCTCCGTGTGGCGCATCCTAGGACTCTGGGTCACAGTGTTCAGAGCTTCCCGTGGGGCCCTGGGCCACCATGAATGACTGCGGGGACCGTGCACTGCACAAGGGCACTGTGTTCAGGTAACATGGATGCGCACATTTACTACAACAGCTTTTCCGCCGAAGTGCTGCGTGAGACCAACCACCCTGCTTCCGTCCTGAGTGGGCAGCAGACTGCGAATCTGTGGTAACAGGTGCCCAGCTCCAAAACCATGAGAACTCTGTGACCCCGGCGGCCTCCAGATTGTGAACTCACTCCCACCCGCTACAGCGCAAGCATCTCACTTTCCCTGCACTTTGCCCACCCCTTACCCCAGACATCTTTTTCCATGCACTCGTCTGAACCAACACCCAAGCCATGGCGTCTATTTGCATGCAAGGCACAAGCCACAGGCTAGAATCCAGAGTCCTTTCAGGCTTGAGCTAAACTGGCAGGGGGACATCCCGAGGGGGCCAGTCCCTGGCTGCTGGGCTCTTTGTGGCTGAGCAGACGAGGAGTCCTTCGATGCAGAGGGTGCCCCGGTATCCTGTCCGTGGTTCTACCCTGTGGTAGAACAGCATGATGTAACCTACCATAGGGTAAAACCACTGGCAGGACACAGAGAGAGACACACAGGGCGGGAGCCACACCAGAAGCCCACCAAGCACAGCCTGGAGAGGGGGTCACCACGGAAAAAGAACAATCCGTCCACAGGAGGCCAACACAGAAGGCAACACCATGAGCAAACAGAAGACCAGAAGCGGGTTAGCCCCACACCAGGTGAGAAGACATCCCCACACCACGAGAGGTCAGCGGTCTGAGCAGGCCCCACGGCCAAGGTGCTCCTCTCTGCAGGGCCCTTCTGCCCTGTCGCACAGACACCCTGCTACCTTCTGTAGGTGACTGGGCCAAGGCAAGGCGGTGCTCTGCGCTCTTGCTAGGGTCACTTTAGCCGTTTTAATTGTACTGACCTGTGCACAAGACATGCAGCTAAGTACAGATCAGGGCCCCTGACTACGACCCAGCTTCTACCTGCTCTGAGACACCTGCCTTCGCCTGCCCTGGCTGCATGGGGACAAAGAGAAGCCTAGGGTCAACTTTAAGGGGCACTTACGTGGCCAGCGCCCACGGATGCAGCTGGACCGGTTGGGAGAGTACTGTAATGACGACGTGGATGGGTAAGCGCCACGTCCTGAGCCTTGCTGTCCCCCACCCCAGGAGGGTCCGGCCTCCCCGTGGCCCAGCAACTGAAGGCTTGATGCCTTCCCTGCTCCAGCAACCTCTGGCACTGGCCAGAGAGGTCTGATGTTTTGAACACCCTGTCTGCGCCCCTCCTGAAGAGGAGGAGGGCTCTGGCAATGAGCGCGCACATGGAGGAGCGGCCCTGTGGCCATGGCGTGCAGCGGGGACAGCACAGCCTTCGGGAAGCCGAGCTCACCTGGCGATCCCTCCATAGTCCAGGCCCTCCTCACCACGCATGATGATGTAGAGCCGGCGGCGCAGGTCGTAGGGCTTCATGTTCATGATCTGGGGAGACACAGTGTCTGGCCAGCCTGCCCTTTCCACAGGGCAGCAGGCAGGGTGGAGGCCAGGGGGCGCCAAGGCCCGCTGGCCAGCAGACATGGTCACCGAGGCCCCTGCCTGGGAAGCTCCGCAGGGTGGGTTTCACAGAACATATGTCAGGGGACAGAGTGGGAAGGAGGGACCCTGCCTGCCCTGCCCCTGATCCTGGCACCATGATTATACTCTAACCTGCTGGAAAGAATCCTCAAAGAGCGTCTGCCTGGAAACGCTGATCTTCACGTGGCTGGGCAGGGCATTTGACTGTGAAGAAAAGAACGGAACTTCAAATGAGGGCCTCACAGAGTATCCGCTCGCTGGGGCCTCCTGTCTGGACAAACAGGCCTCCCTGTCCCAGTTCAGGGTCAGACAGGCATCTTGCTGCTTCCCAATGCCTGCACAGGGTCAAGACATCAGGTGGAACTCACTGAACAACCCCACCTCCCCGGGAGCCCCGGAACCAGAACTCACATGGCACAGGAACCGGAACTGGTGATACTTCCACCGAAAGCTCCGGTCATAGGCACCAGGGGAGCCTTGCTTTGTCCTGGGAACAAAGATGTTCTGGAATCCGTGCAGTTTTTCAAAAAAGGAAGCCCCTGTCTTTGCTATTTACACCTAGGGAAAGCTAATGTTTTTTGCATTTAAAGTTGAATAAAATAAGGCTTAAAAGAAGGGAAATGACTGCCACTAAGAGCTTTAAAAAGTCAAGAGAAAAACTTGAAACAATGCTGGACTTCTTGCTTTCAGGGAAATATTACTATGCTGTTCTGGATGAAGAGGCTCACCCCCGCCTCCCCAGCCCTCTAAGGCAACATCGTCGGCCACTAGAGGGCAGTGGACAGCACCACACATCCGCAGCACCCTCAGAGCCCCTGCCCAGGACAGCCTGGCGGTGCTGCTGACACCGCTGTGGCCTGTGGGAATCTTACCCGGACTCAAACCCCGGGCGAGGGTCTTTAAAGGTGGTAGTGCGGGTATTGTGGTCCACAAAGTACCGCACCCCCTCGCTGGTGTACTTCATCTCCCATCCGGGGGGCAGAGCTGGTTCCTGGATCATCCTGGAAACACAAGGAAGGGGTTCAGGGCGGGCCCCACCTTGTGGGCCTCTGCTGCTGCTCTTTTTATGCTTTCATCGGGCTCTGCAGAGTCTTGCAGGGCACCTGGAGGATATGCACCTGGCAGGACCCAAGCTATGACCAAAAAGAAGTCCCCCAGCCTAAGTGCCAGCCCTTAGTGGACACAAGCTATCCTGGGACAACAGGCACGCCAGCCCTGCCTCCCCTGGGGCTTGCGGTGTTGGGGCACCCTGCATAAGCAGCCGGGAGACCAGCAGCACCTGTGGGGGACCGCCCTCCACCCACCGCAAGCTCTATTTCAGGATCTGCCATCCATCACACTCTCATTAGGCCACCGCCAGACCCTGAGCACCTCGGGGACTCTGCGTGGCGAAGAGTCCCTTGGCATTGGTGCCATGGCCAACGCTGGAACTGTACAGGAGCCACCCCCAACCCCAAACCCTTACCCCTGCGTCCGAGGGTCCTCCCACTGGGTAGTGCGTGTGTTATGGTTCACGTAATACACCCGTCCATTGTCCTGTCTCTTCTCTGCCATGGGGGAAATAAAGGAGAGAAAGCGATCAGACCCAAGATCTGCAGCCAAGTCCCTTCCCTCGACTCCTGGGTACTGGGGCCGAATTTCAAACCCTGTGGTCAATGTAGTAGAGAGGGTTAGCTGGAAAAGCCTGGCACACTCATATCTGTCACTACAAAGAAGGACAAGGACTGTTTCGCTGTCATGGGGCAAGGGAGGGACACACACGGTCCCAGCTTCTGTGCTCTGGCTTGGCAGAGGGAAGGGACCACGCAGCGCACAGAGGACAGCCAGGCCAGACCGGGGGTGTAACTGCATCCAGCTGTGCGCAGCACGGTCCCCCCGCCACCCCCTCGCCCAGAAGGAGGGACAGAGAGTAAGCCATCAGCTCCAGGTGGGTGGAGGGAAACTGGGGGAGCCCCCAACACCAAGGAGGCCACCTTTCCCAGGCAGTCCCTGAACCTGCCGAGCTGTTTCCATCCCGGAAACAAACGACGCTAACGGCTCTCTGTCTCTTGCAACAACAGGGTGCAGTTAAAGAAACAACAAGCAGGGCACCCCGAACTGAGAAGGGGGCCGCACGGGGCAGACCAGCCCTCATCACCACAGCGAGCTCCTGCCTCTGACTGACTGACCTGCTATCTATTACACAACTGCGATTTTGTAAGCGCAGGACACTGTCAATCACACTTCAAAAAAGCTGGGAAGATAAGAAAATAAAATATAAACAAAAGAAGAGAACGAACAGGAGGTGGCTGACTCTGGTATGGAGCGACCACCCCGAGGCCAGATGTGTGACCAGTAGCAGAAGGCAGACACCCTGAGACTCCCAAGAGACGGCTCCTCCCAGGCAAGGAGCTGCTGCTGGGAACTGCTCTGCCGAGGGCCAGAGCCAAGACCAACCCTGCGCTGGGGATCTGCCCGGCCGGTCTGAGGCCGGGCCATCGCCCCTGGCACTGCTACAGTGCAGCGTTTCTCAGGGTCCCACTGAGTGCCCAAGGGGTGTGACCGTGGGGGGCGGGGAGGGGTGAGTCCCTCAGGGAGCACTGCTGCACCTCCAGGAGCAAGAGGACCCGAGGGCATTCGTCACATGCCCAGGGCAGGCCTGTGCGTGGGGACAGCCATGGAGTCTCCCATGGCATGGCAGAAAGGGACCTGGGAACTGAGGGCAGGAGCGACACCAGCAGGCTCGCCATCGATGCCACTCCTGTTTGCTCTGGCGGCTCTTTCTGTCCAATCTCACCGTCCCTGGGGAGGCGGTGACCCCTGCTGCACTCCTGGGATGCCAACGCCAAGCCCAGAAGACTGCAGTTAGGAAGGTTCCCCGGCCTGTGGCCAGAATGTGCTTTTTCTCACTTCTGGACTAGTTTTGTGACTGGTCAACAGCGCTGACTTTGACTGTGTCTCCTCTATTCCTTCCTCAAGTACTTTCCCATTTAGTATGGGGGAGCAGTTTTCAGGTCTCTATAGCTGCTCTTACTGGTGACCATTATTTATCCAAACTGCTATAGAAATAAACTCACTTGACTGGGCCACACTGCCTGCCTCTACAGAGCCAGAAATACTCCTGGTCCTGGGCTCCAGGTCACTGATGTACCTTTCCTGCCTGTGTAAGGATCCCAAGAGTTACTCTCTCAACCTTGACCTGCTGCCAACCCCTTAGATACCAATGATTTTACTACAGTCCAGGGAGCCAGGCAGGTCACCTGGGCACACCAGGATTGCCTAGCTGAGCTGAAAATCAGTACATCCACGGAAGCCTCACTACCTGCATCTCCCACTAGAAGGACAGGTCCCCCTAGCACTCGAGCACAGTGGTAACTGACTGAGATCCCGTGCAGCAGGGAGTGATAGAATCTCTTCCTTGTCTCCCAGGGAGCGGCTGGGTCTGTCTCAGGGGACCCAACCCGAGAGCTGGGCTCCTCCAGGCCATGCCCATCCTACCACTGTCAGCTTCCCAGCAGCGCTTCGCCCCTCTGTGGGGGGTGCACCTCGCCCAGGGTCAACGCCATCTGTAAACACCACCAAGCCACATGTACCCAACCTATACATTAAACCAAATACCCACTGACTCCTGTGAAAACCGCCCTCCTGGCTCTCAGGGCCTTTGCAGGGCTGACCCAAGCGCTGCCAGCTCAGAGCGCTGTAAAGCACATCCGGTCTCACCATCACTGATGACCCCATTTTGCATGGCCGCCCCTTCCTAGAATAGCTATGAAGCCCTCGATCTCTCCTAAGTCATGGAGGTCCATGCCTTAACCGGCTCTGGGTGTCACACCGAGGGCTTGGAGGCGGTACGAGCCCGCTACTAACAGCACAGAGGACCCAGCACAAGGCTACGGCAGCAGGGCCACACTTTTAGAATCACGCCCCAAGGCTCAATGCTCAGCTTCCCTCCGGCCTCTTTCAAAGCTGTGTCACAAATAAAAATGTGGCTGCCATTAGCCAAGATCAGGCTGGAGTCCTCCAACATCTCAGCTGCAAAGAAAGGTTCGTTAAGGTGGCTCCTTCCAACCAGAGAGCCAGAGACTTGAAGCAAGTCCGTCTGGAAACCAGACAGGGTCTAGGTATCTTAGTGACAGGGTGCCACTGAGGACCTGCACCCAACAGTCACACAGCACCTCGGGGACCTCTTCCTTAGGGCCACAGTCCTCCCGCTGTAGCTGTGACCGCTACCACGGCACAGTGCAGCGCAGTTACTCCCTCAGTCTGCCAGCTCGCCACGTCCACTGCGGGCTGGGCGTCCCCAGAGGGTGCGCCCTAGGAGGTGGCACGGGGCTGCGGGTAAGGGGAGACACATGGGAGAAGCTCTTGCCCGGAAGGCGGAGGGCGCAGAGGCAGAACTCGGTACTTACCCCAGCCGGGGGGGAGGGGGCCCAGGGGGTCATGGTCAGTCGCGGTGCTCGAAGACTACATGGAAGAAACACAGAAGTAAACAGAGGTTAAAAAAAAGCCACCGGTTAAAAATACATCCATCAGTGAAAATTAAAATGCAAACAACTCACTTCCGCGTTTTAGTACTTTGTAGAGGATGCAGCGGGACCTTAGGTGGCATGGGCTTCTCTCAAAAGTCTTTGTTCAAAAAAAAAGAAAAGAAAAAAGAAAGAAAGAAAGAAAAAGAAGCCCCAAAAAGAGCTCTGCTCGGAGAACCCGAGAGGGTTTGGGAAGGGTGCAAAGGGCAGGAGAAGAGGTGCGCAGAGGAAGGCGGCCGGGCTGTGGAGGCCAGGGCCGCCGCGCCAGGCCGGGCCGGGCAGGAGGGCTTGCAGCAGGGCTGCCCCGCAAGCTCCCCGACGGCCACTGCTCAACTCCACTCACAGCGGCCAAGGCGACTGAAATCACCAGCACCTCCAACTTTCTCCAAGAACCACACACGGGAGGGGAAAAAATATCGCAGGCCTTTCCAATGAAATCATTCCCACAAGCCCTGCCCACGCCCGGGCTTCCTGGCTGGGCCGGCCTCCTCCCTCCACCTCGCCGCCCGCCCGGGCGCAGCATCCACCAGACTGAGGGCACATTCAGGCCCAAGCCCCTCACCTCCCCCAGGAATGTTTTCCTTCCCCTTCACAAAGCACCTTTATTCTCCCCCTGCCTGAACCTGAACTTGCGCAGTGTTCTGCGTCTGCCTGTCTGGGGGGTGGGGGTGGGGCAGGTGGAGAGGGAAGGGGAGAGGGGCGCGAGAAGGGGGACCGGCTCCAGGACTTCGGGGGCACTGCTTACATTAGTGACCCCCCCGCCCACCTCATTCTGCTTTGAGGTCCCCAGGGAAGGGCTGCAGGGACGGCGAGGTCTCACATCCTTCACGGAAGGGGTGCTGTCAAAAGTTTTCGTGGTTAAATAAAACAAGTATTGTTCTCCTCGCTCTTTCCCTCCTTTTTTCTTTCCCCACTCTGAAAGCATTTTTATTTCACGTACTAGAATTTAATCATTATATTATGGGATCAAGTTCTACACGCAGACCTCAGGCTGCCGCGCTGGCCCCGTCTGGGGGCGACAGCCACACACGGGCAGGAGGATGAATGGAGCTCAGTCTCGCCCTGAGCAAACACTGGTGGAGCCCCGCCGCCTCGAGCCCCCTTTCTAGCCCTCCCACCCCAGGGGACAGAGGAACCTTCTTTCTAAGGTGGCAACGTGGGCACTGCTTCCAAGCAAGTTCCAACAAAGACGTTTAAGTCTGGGAACCATAGGTTCCTTGATGGGACAGAGACCCTTTCAGTAGGGGGTCCCTACCCCATAGAATGAAGTTGCGAGAGTGGGGGAAAGCTGGCCTCGACCTGGGACCCGTTACTGCCCGTCTCCAGGATGTGCCTGCAACCTGCATCACAATTCCGATTTGCCCCGTTCCTGAAATATATCGCCCCGAGTCTCAGTAGTCATTTTGGTGTGTGTTTGTGTGTAGGAGGGGTAGCGGGTGATCTGGTGCGACGTCTCATAAAATCCAGATTCCTCCTGCCTTGCTTCGTGCTAATGGATAAAGATGGTCACTATGAAAACACTTGGCAACCAGACTAAGGAACTAACATGAAAACACATCTATTTCAGACAATAAAGCCAAATACATTGAGCTGCTAAGGTCTGAGGTGTAGCAATGACTTTGTAAAAGGTAATGTTAAGAAATTAAGAAGAAGCCAGGTGTGGTAGTGCTTGTCTGTAATTACAGCACTCAGAAGGCTGAGGCAGGAGGATTGCCACAAATTGGAGACCAGCCTGGGCTACACACCACAGTGCGTCCAAGACCAGCCTGAACTATATCGCAAGAGTCTGTCTCAAAAGATAGAGAGACATTTGGTACACAGGTGTCTGCTGCTCCAGGCCTCTTGTCAAAAGGAGTGGACAATCTATAAAGTGTCCGGGCGCTACCAACTGGTACCCAGAAGCCTTCTTAACGTAGCTGTGCAAATCAATAGACCAAAAGGTCTTTATTGACAGCACTGAACTGAAACAAAAATATTTATCAGTCTTTTCCCTTTCTTTCTTTCTTTTTTTTTTTTTTTGTTTTGAGACAGGGTGTCACTATTTGGCCCAGGCTTGTCTTGAACTCACTTCAGCCTCCCAGGTAGCTGGGCATGTGCCACATGAACAACTTCTCATCCATTTCGTAATCACTGCTCCTTCCTTTTTTTTTTTTTTTTTTTTTTTTTGGTACTGGGAATTGAACCCAAGGCCTGTGAGCTACATCCCCAGTCCTTTTTTAAGTTTTTTTTTTTGGTACCAGGAATCGAACTTAGGACCTTGTACTTGACAGGCAGGAGCTTATGTCACTTATATCCCCAGCCTCCCAGTCCTTTTTTATTTTGATTTGTTTTTTTGTTTTTTGTTTTTGAGACAGGGTCTTACTCTGTAGTTCAAGCTGGCCTTGAACTCACTTTGTAGCCCAGGCTTGCCTTCAACTCACAGTGATCCTCCTGCCTCAGCCTCCTGAGTGCTGGGAACACAGGCATGCACCACCACACCCAGCCCCCTTTCTTATTTTGAGACAGACTCTTGCTAAGTCATTAGGTTGCCTAGGTTGGGCTTGAACTTGCAACCATTCTGCCTCAGCCCCCCTCAGCGCTAGGGTTAGAGGTATATGCCACCACACTGGCTATTGCCACTAGCTACTTTTCAGTCTCTCTAACTTCGCACAGTCTCGGCCCTCTTTTGTTAAGGTGGGGTATCTTCCCATCCTCCTCATAGCAGAACTTCACTTACCCCCAAACCTGCCAGGAAATAAGGGCAGAAAAGAGGCAGCAGATAGGAAAGGGAAAGACCAGAGATTGATAACACAAACAACATATAGAATCAGAATTAACAGCATCAAACATTCATATGATTTTTACTTCTTACAGTTAAAGCAAAAAACACTTGACTATTTTGGATATATCTTCCCGGAGGTACATAGTACAACTTGAAAAATAAGAAAAGAAAAGCCTTAAGAAGTAAATGGAAGCTAAGGAGAAACAAAAAATACGAGCTGCACACCGTGGCCAGAAAACCAAAAGCCAAAAATTCCACACCACCAACAAACCAACCAACTGCCTCTTCTCTTCTAGCCCAAAGTATCACAGGGAAGAGAGCAGAAAAAGCACACAGGGCAAGGAGAATCAAGCCAGAAGAGATCCCGGCGTGCACGGGTCACCCGATGGCACAAGGCAGCATCCTTTATGACTAGGAACGGAGAGAAACCCGGCCGGACCATTTTCCTGAATGGCCCTGAGTCGGAGATCTGAGGTACAGGCCACAAGCCAGAGAGCTCATGTGAGTTTAAGTCCCTTGGGGACGACACACAAAGTCCCAGTAATATTTTAAGATACAAACTCAGAAATAAAGAATGTCTAGCAAATACAGCCGGGAGCAGGAAAGGTTCTGGAAGGGCATAACGGTTGCAGAGGGAGAGGCAGGCATCGCTCCCGCCTTCCCCCGGCACCCGGCGCACTCAGGACAAAAGCTGGGTGCTTGGGAACTCAGCGTGAGGTGGTCTGTGCGGAGCAGGCACCGAGTGGCCTGCTGCAGGATAGTGTGATTTGGAGCCCACGCTTGGGAGCCACGGAAGGACTGGAGCTGGTCCTGCGGACCCACGCTGTCTCCTTAGCCCTTAGCGAAGGACAAAGAGGTATACAGGCAGACGTGCCACATCAACAGCGGGCTGTGCGAGGTCCTGGCACGGGCGCACAGTGTGCAGGACTGTGCTGGCACCCACAGTGGGCACGGCAGGAACACGGGGCAGAAGAACAAAACCGCAGGGTGAAACAAACACACACACAGACAGACACGCGCACACACAGTGATCATGAACAACAGAAGCACACTCCGCATGAGGAAAGGAAAACCTGCCAGAAATAGGGAGAAGACGAACCTAAGAGAAAGTAGGGAAGGTGTGAGGGCGGCAGGGTGGGAAGGAGTAACAGGGGCCCACCGCCTGGGATTCCCTGGACTCCCATTTCGGACTGTATTTCATGTTCTGTGTGGTGCAGCGAAGAACAAGGTCTCAGTTTAAGCCCAGCAAGAGGAGAAGGCGGGGAAGTCGCCAGTACAGTATCAGCTCTTAAGTCTTCCGAGTCAAACCCTGGGCCAAGGCCAAACCCCGAAATAAATGTATGAAAGCAACCCTTCTTACTTGTAACCAGGACATGGCACCACAGCATACAGAGGGAGAACCAAATCCAGTGGGGGAGGAAAAGCAACAGAGAGACATTGAGAGCAGACCAAAAAAGGATTCCCGCCGTATTTTCCCGTATGAGACTTGTTTCTCGGAGAAAGGTAACCCCTTCGCCATGCAGAATCTGCCATCTGTGCTGAGAAAACCATCTTAGAGCACGCAGAATGAATCTTTTTGTGCTTAAGTTTTTACTTCTAGGGAACCCTCCAAGCCAAAGTCATACCTCTGTAAGCTTGGAATAGCGCTGCTAAAATGAGAGAAACAGGAAAAAGGGAAAGAAGGCTCCAAAAAGAACAAGTGGACAGGAGGCCAGAACCTGTGACTTCCCATTTGGACACTGAACATGTCAGTCGACCTATAGGAACTACATGGTGCATACCACAGGACTAAAAGATTCCCTTAACGGGTTATTTTTTTAATTAGAGAAGTTGGACAACCAGAGAGGTAAAACCCCTAAGCTGTGTCCTGTCTCTACAGCAAAGGACAGGTCAGAGAAAGATAAATCCCGATCCTCCGTTTTGGAACCAAGTCCACCCCAAAAAATGGTAGGCAAAGTCTTTGGGCCCCGGCTCACGAGGGACAATCTTCAAAATGCAGAGAAGGATCAGCTCCTATACAATGTTTGAAACACAGAAGAACTAGATACCAGGCATGCTGTGGGGTGGGCAGGGTGGCATAAGGACATGATACCACCCTGGACTGGGTAAAACCACCAAGGCATGGGCTGCAGACAGGCATGGACATCAGGTAACCTCGAAGGCAACTTCATGAAACAAACACATCTTCTGTTCATCTTTTTGAAGGAAGTGGGATCCTCCTCAGCTTCCCCACTTTCCGATGAGCAGTCAACCCTACAGAAGAGGCAAGCTAGGTAAGGGAGATGCTACTATGACTTGTGGTTGATAACAGAACACCTGCTTCGGAGGAACAGGGAAAGAGCCAAAAAGAAAGGCAAGGATGAAAAATGACTACTACTTTTTTTGGAGAAAGGATTTCACTATAAAATGCAGGCTGGTCTTGGGCTCATTACACAGTCTAGGTTACCCTCAGAATTGCAATCCTCCTGCCTCAGCCTCCTACAGGCTAGAATCACAGGCATGTGCCACCATGCCCAGCTATGACTGCTACTTAATTAAATGGAATTAAGGATTTTCTGAGCATCTAACTAGGATACTATCCAATTTAGAAATGGGTTGTGGGCTTAAAATTCATTTCAAATAGAAATAAGGTTAAACATGGTGATTAAAGCTGTGGTCCAGCTCCAAGCACTTCCAACCTGCAATACAAGGCCCCATCTTATGCTGGTGTGACCCCATACCCAACCTTTGTGCTTGAGGTGCCCCAAGAAATATAATCAAGGCAACTCTGGACCCTGCTTGTCTCTACTGAGGAGCCTTGTGGCTGGGCTCCTGTAGCTCCAGGTCCCTGGTGGAGGCTCCAGCAAGTCAGAGACTCCAGGAGGTGGGGCTGGGGGGGCGTTCTGAAAGGGACAGTGTATGGGACACGGTTAAGACAGTTAACTAGGGACCAGAGCAACCTCAATTCTGGACTAGGAAGTTTAAGCATTATTCAGTAGGTAGTGACATAGAACGCCTGGGCCAGGAAAGGGATGCAGCGACAGAAATATCTGAAAGGTGGCTGTGATAGGAACAGCCAGCATGGACTGGGCCAGGACAGCCAGCAGGGACAGTGACACAGAGGCTGCCCTGGCATCTCAGATGGGAGAGGGCACAGGAAAAGCGGACATCACCCACATGCCTATAATCCCAGCACTCAGAAGCCTGAGGCAGGGGGATCACAAATTCAAACCCAACTTGGGCTACGTAGCAAAAAAAAGACCTACTCTGGTAGCATGAAAAGAGCTACTTTTAACTCACAAACTACCAGCAGGCCTGTGTTTCAATAAAGTTTTATTTACAAAGCCAAGTGGTGGCCTGGTTTGGCCCCTGGGCTTTTGTTTGCCAACCCCGAATCTAGATGAGCTTTTATAGGTCCTTCATCCTTGAGACTGTTAGCTAGTGAAGATCAAAAGGAACAATGCAGGAAGCAGGGGAGGAGAGACATAAAAAGCATCAAGCTTCAAGATGCGTATGCGTCAACACTCTGTGACAAGTACATGCACTACATATCGCAAACATATATTAATTTAAGAAACACCATAGTAGCAAGAGACGAGGGAAGAACTGGGTGACGGCTGTGATCCAGAGAGGTGACGAGCGGACAAAGTCAAAGCTGATCTTTGGGCTTCAAGTCAGGAAATCGGACTTGAACGCAGAGGGCAGAAAAGAAAGCCAGTCTTGGAAGAAAGACAGGAAACACAGTTTCAGAGGCTGGACACGGAGTTACTCAGAAACACCGGAATTTGAGGAATTTCACTGTGATGAGTAAAATCTCCAGGGTCGGAGCACTGGCGGCCCTGGCCGCGCTTGCCCTGCCCCCCACGCGGGTCCGCAGAGGGTGCGGCGGCCGCCCCTCTCACCTGGTAGAGGAATCTTTGGCTGAAGTGCTGCATGGCTCCCTGCAGCTGACTGCGCTGCGACTGCCACTGCTCGTAGTTCCGCACGTACTCGGCGGTGGGGCGCTGCCAGGTGGTGGTCCGCGTGTTGTGGTCCACGTAGTAAAACCTCCCTCGGGGGTCTGTGCGCTTTTCCCAGCTGCAGACATTAAGCTCAGAATGAATACAGTCGGCACCCCACCCCCAAATGCAGGAAGAAATCTCAGGATGGCTGGCCAGGAGGGGCCCAGGAAAGGGACACAGGAGCTCGGCTCCTCCAGCGGGGCACAGCCAGGCGGGGCCAGTCACAGGGCTTCCGGGGCTCAGAGAGGACGGTGGACATCTGTGGCTGCCTCGCCAGTGGCCCACCCTCCCCACCGCTGGCTCCTGATTTCCATCTCGGGGATCCATGCAGTTCTGGGAAGCTGAGTCCAACCCCAAACCCCGCACTGATGACTGACGAGACCGGGAGTGGGCATAGGATTCATCTGGGACAATCAGGGTGACCGTCAGGACTTTTGCTAGGAATGCTAGGGAAAAATATAGCCTTGCATCCTTCCTGGGTACCAGCGGGCGAGCACACGGCCCCGGGACCGGCTACCAGTTTGGACCTAAGTACAGCACGAAGCTGACCAGGGGATGGCGGAGCAGAAAATGAAGAGAAGCCAGCCCCTTGGTAATACTAGAGAGTCACTAGATCGGGCTTCACTTGAAATCAGGATTTATAGCTAATTAATTTTCAGTTACATGACCCAATACGTTTCCTTTATTATTTAAGCCAATTTGGACACCAATTTTTGTTACTTGCAAGTGACATAAGGCACCACCCAAAACAGGCTGCATGGTCATGAGAAGAGTTGATCCACACAATAGGAGGACTCTGTTATTTTTGGTGAGGAAGCAATTTTTCCAAAGTTGGTCCTAACACAAACACACACACACACACACACACACACACACACACACACACACACACACATACCCATCCTGGCAAGGTAGGGCTGGAACAGAAGGTATTAACCCTCAGCTGTGCTTGGTAGGTGCAGTAACTTGATTTCCACATACACAGGGGGAAAGCGATAGAAAGAAAGTAGAAAGGAAAATTTTCTAGGATGGTGGAAGTGTTCTACATCTGATAGGTGTGGGTGGCATGAGTGAAGGTTATTTGTAAAAACTTAGTGACTAAGCACTCCGGAAAATGTGTCTCACTGTGTACAGGTTTTACTTCAGTGTTGAAGTCAATCCCAATCAAATCAGCCTCCATGTCTAGTTCCCAGCTTCCAGGAAAGACACAGGATAGAACATGTCATACAGCCACAAGGTCACAAGCAGCCTCATCTTAAACGTAAGACACTCTACAGCCAGGTGTGGCGGCCCATGAAGATGCGGGCTAGGTATGGTGGTGCACGCTGAGGCTTGGGAGGCTGAGGCAAGAGGATCGTCGTGAGTTCAAGGCCAGCATGGGCTACAAAGTGAGCTCAAGGCCAGCCTGAACTACATAGCAAGACCCTGTCTCAAAAAACATAAACAAAAATAAAAAGAAAGAAAGAAATTCTATAAGACAAAATGCCCAGGTTCTTCAAAAAATAAATGGTCGGATAAAAATAAGAAAAGGCAGGGAAAATTATAGGTCAAGAGAGATTTAAAACATCTACCAGCCAAAAGCACTGGATACGATTCAAACAAATGAGGAATAAAAGCATTTTTAAGACAATCGGGGACCACGGGCTCTGACTGGGTATGATACGACATAAGGAAATGTTAGTAATTTTACTGGATAGGCTCTGTATTTTTAACCTCATGTTAGAGACATACATGCCATATTTATGGATCAAAAGAGTATGATGTCTGGGGTGTTCTTTAAAATCCATCAGTCGCTCCCCTGAAAAGCAGGAGATCAAATGAGACAAACAAGAGCGTTACCAGGGACTGGCTGTGCTATTCTATCAAATGTGGTACATGCCTGAAATTTTCCTTTGTAAGTTTGAAAAGTGGTGGGCGTGGAAACAAAAGAGAGAGCAGCTGAAGAACACAGGCTAAGCTGCTGCAAAGGGAAGCGAAGCGGATACATCACACGGCCCTGCCGCTCTGTCCTCGCCACTCCGCCGTCTCCTGCTGACGGGACGACTGACCTAGGTCTGCAGCTGCCCTCAGGTCCTGAGTTAACCTCCCAGCTGATTTTTTGCAGGGGATCTTTTTGAGACAGGGTTTCACTGCATAGTTTGGGCTGGCTTTGAGCGCACTTTGTAGCCCAGGCTGGCCTTGAACTCGCAGCGATCCTCCTGCCTCAGCCTCCCAAGTGCTGGGATTACAGGCATGCGCCACCATGCCCACCCCCAGCTGATTCTTTCTAAGCCACCTTTTCAAGGGTCCTTTAAAAATTCAAGGCCTCCCTAAAAGTGGCTTCCCCTTCAGCAGTTCCCAGATCCCTTGGCCGGGCCCCCAGATTGTGTCTGGCTGTAACCAGACCGTTTTACCTTCAGAACCTGCACTTTGCATTCAACTACACCCACAGCTCTCTCCCCAAACTGAGTCCTTCCCGACCTCTGTCACTTCTCCCAGGAATGCAAGCAGGTGCCACCGCCATCCCCACTGACACCAGGCTAGCACTCAGCCTGAGCTCTTCTTTGGTTTCTGTTATCTGTCCATCTTAAATCTCCACTTCTACATCCAGATCTGTATCACCCACCCCTTGGACTACCGCATTGATCCCCAACCTGACCTCCCCGCTCTGCTCCGGACCATAAAAGGCCAGTGGAGACCACACTAAACTGCTCAAACTCTCCTGCTGATTTCTGCTGCCCTTAAGCCAGAATCCTTTAGTCAGCATTCAAGATTCACAACAAATGTCTTATAATTTCTCTAAACTCGTAGTTTTCATTTATTATCAAAGAAATCATGTATATATAGCTTTCAAATGTACGGACTACAAGAGATATAAAGAAAGACAGATGCCAGACACGGTGGTGCACACCTGTAATCCCCGCACTCTGGAGGCTGAGGCAGGAGGATTGCCATGAGTTTGAGGCCAGCCTGAGCCACATAGTGAGTTCAAGACCAGCCTGTACTATAAACTGTCTAAAAAAAAAAAAAAGAAAGAAAAGAAGAAAAAGAGACAGAAAAGAAACAAAAACCAGTCATCTCCTGCTGCACTGCTCTAAATAACATGTCTACTACATTATTCTTCACTTGTGCCCCAGTCCGTGTTACTCATGGGCTTCCCCCTAGGAAGCCGGTTATGTTAACCCCCAACACATAGACTGCCATCTCCTCCCCTCTTCCTCCAACACAGAAGAAAATCTCCATTAGATTCAGGGTTTGTATTATGATGATGGAGGATACTATAATAAACACGTTTCCTATCTGTAAAACGTGTTGGGCTTTGTTTGTTTAGAAAGGTAAGAATTGCCTTGTTTCCTTTTGTTGGGTCTTTAAGAATCTATGGCTATTTGACCTCCAGATTCAAATTCAGCATGAAGGTGACCAGTGGTTGGCAGGGCAGGAGCTGAGGAGACAGGCAGCTCCTTGGGAACACTGCTGAGCACCTGCAATCAGGACTTCTACCTAGAATTTCCAGTTCGTGAGCCAATAAACGCCTTCATTATTTAAATCAGCTTCGACAGCAGTTTTTGTGACTTGCTTCTCTGCCAGGACAAGAAGCCTTCCCGTGGCACTAATCCCTTGGCCATCCTCCCCTGTACCCTTCCTCTAACATGGCCAGGTGCCCGTCCACGTCACCACTGCTCTCATGATGTCCCACGGCCTCTCCTGGGTCCCCCGCACCCTGTGCCTTCTTCCCTCTCGGCTTCCTCTCATTTGGCAGAATTAATCACCTAGTAGCTTCTGAGAAAGGAGGCACTAAAGTTATTTTTTGAAACTCAGCGTATCTGAAGACACCTTTATTTCTACCCTCATATTTGAATGTTTAAATTAATAAAAGATGTCAGGCGTGGTGGCACATGCCTGTAATCCCAGCAACTCAGGAGGCTGAGGCAGGAGGATCACTGTGAGTTCAAGGCCAGCCTGGGCTACAAAGTGAGCTCAACGCCAGCCTGAACTGCACAGCGAGACTTGTCTCAAAAAGACAAAAAGAAAATTAATTAATTAATTAATTAATTAATTAAAGATGATTTAAAAGTTGATTTCCAGGGAGGAAATCTTTGTTCATCAGAGCTGTGACGGTCTCACTCTTCAGCTGCTGTGGTACTCCTGCATCCCAAACATTTCTGTGTGCCGTGTTTTCTCCCTCTGGGAGTTTCCGAGAGCTTCTCTTGGCACTGAAATTCCCTGAGGTGGGCTTCCAGGTGGGCCCCTGAAATGCAGACACTATATATACTTTACTTCTGCAACTTTTTTCTCCATTTTATTTTGTTTTTTGATCATTTCCTATCCTTTTGCTCTGTTCTTTCATGTTAGAGCTACTATTTCTTCCCAAGTCTTTGGGGATTGACTGATTTGATTTATGTATTTATTTATTTATGAATGAATGAGTGAATGAATGAATGAAATAGTCTTGCTATATAGCTCAGGCTAGCTTTGAACTCACTATGCAGTCCAAGTTGGTATCGAACTCATAGTGATCCTCCTGCCTCAGCCTCTCAAGTGCTGGGATTATAGGCATGTGCCACCATGCCCAGCTGAGGATATTAATTATAATTTAGTTTGTTTTCTGAAGTTCTTTATTCCCAACTCCCGCAATTGTTTTCACCAACTCCCCCTCCTTTTCTGGCTGCTGTTCTTTTGCTGTTCATTCACATTTTTCCTTTATTAGTGCATGGTTGCAATATTACCCACCTTTAAAGGTGAGCGGCTGGCACGCTGCCTGTGTGCTCAGGTGGGCCTGCTGACTATGGCTTCGCAGGAAGATGCTAAACTATCTCATTAGAAGGTCCCCAAATATGACAATCTGTAGTTAGTTTCCTTTAGATGGTCACTTTCTCCAGCAAAACCAAACCAAACCTGGCAATCTTTGTCCTAAGGGTTGGGTACAATATCCTCATTCATGCCCTTTTTCCAGCTTGTCTCTTTCTACCTCTATGTCTTGTGTCTCCAAGTCTGATCCTGCTCTCTGAAGAGCTTCTCAAGGTCACCAGCAGTCCTGTGTGTGTGTGTGTGTGTGTGTGTGTGTGTGTGTGTGTTTGAGCATACACACCTGGCACAGGAATCCAATCACACCCTGCACAGACTTTCAGCTGACCTCCAGGTCTGCCTCACCCCACATGCCCCATGGGTGTCCCCAGGAGCAGGGCTAGGGATGTGGCTCAGTGGTAGAGCACTTGCCTAGCATGCGTAAGGGCCTAGGTTTCATCCCAATGTCATAAAACAAAAGTAAACAAATAAGGGTGGAAGTGTTCCAATAAAACTTTATTTATAGAAACAAGTAAAGGGCCAGGTTTTGTCCACACGCCACTATAGTGAGCCACCCTCTCATACAAATGAAACAAAACTGGCCACAAATCGTTGATAACTCCTGAAACTGAGTGTTAAGCATGTGAGGGCTCATTATACTATTCTATTTTGCACATACTTGAAATTTTCTCTAACAGTATGAAAATTTCCATCATCTCCCCAATAAAATGCTGTTTATTTTTTTAAGTCAAGAAGTCCACGTTTCGCTTCCTAACTTCATTTGACTTCAAGTCAAAGCAGAAAATAAAGTAGCCCTAGTGATGACAAATGACGAGCTCCATGCCCAGACGGAGAGGGAAGGAAAGGAAAACGCAAGCACCCACTGGAAACTGAAGCTGGAAGCACCCCATGCTCGGAAAGCTGCAGGGCCAGAAAGTGAGGTGGTACTGCCTGGCACACGGCTGACAGCAGAACCCGACACCGCACAGCGGCTCTCCTGAGACTCTCTACCTCCGAAATCCTTCCCCTCTGCAGACTTAGAGGGTTAAGTGTTCGGATTTTAGGCAGAAGCCCTTCATGGCTGCTTTAGCCGAGGCTGACTCTTTCCTGAGAGCAGCATGCGTTCCTTTTGAAAGCTCTCAGGACCAAGAGACACCCTGGAAAGAACTTTCTGTCCTTGGCAGAAAGGGCATCAAACCCCTCGTCCTTGAACATGGACAGTCTCTGCCCCTTGGAAGCCTCTCGTACCCTTTGGTTTTGGAGACCTCGGCTATGTTCTCATCAAGCCCAGCTGAATGAGCAGGACTCTGCCGTTCCAGGCAGGGTGCAATGAAACACACCCCCATTCTTTCTTTACCGGTCTCCCCATAGCCTTTCCCCCATCCGAAGTACTCAAGATTGAGCCCAGGGCCCAGTGCATGCTAGACAAGTCCTCTACCACCGAGCTACCCCACCAGCCTGTTCCCTACAGAGTCTCTAAAATTCCAGGCTGTCGTAAGAAATGAGAGCAGAATTAAGTAATGGGATGGAAAAAGTGATTAAGTGACCCAGGATAAATGTCAGTATGCTCTGCTACCTCTGAATACCAGGCCCTAATAGGGATGTCTCTGTATGGTGACTCCGCATCTCATGTGACATGACTGAGGACATCAAGACACTAACGCCCAAAAGGTTTCCCCAGTCGCCTTTGTTTTAGGACTCAACAGCTCTGAATACCACTTAGGGAAGCAATGGTCATCAGATTTGGCCAAACCATGCACGTGGAGAGAAAGGAAAAAAGAAAGGACAGAATATAAAAAGGGACAACTGGAAGGAAGGGGAAAATACCAGAGAAAGGAGGCGAGTGGGGTAAACTAGAGAGGGTGGTGGCAGGGAGGGGCGGAGAAGCCCTAGGTGTTGCTGGGTGTGAGTTCTAGAGTCTCAGAACTTATCACTCAGGCCTTACTTACCCTGGAGGGAGAGGCCGCTCCCAGGTGGTGGTCTTGGTATTGTGGTCCACATAGTAGACTCGTCCATTGGGCAGCTCCCGCTGCTCCCACCTGGAAAACAAAGCCAAGGAGGCTTAAAGGCACGGCCTACTAGAAAGGAAATACTTTACCACCAATGTGACTAATTTAGAGGAAATAATCAGCATGCACGGTTGAAACAGTGGTCACACTAGCTCCGGGCAGGGATTGAAGGTGGCATCCAGGAGTGCTTCTTCTTTTTTTTTTAAAGATAGGGCTGTGTAGTTCAGGCTTGCCTTGAGTTCATTATGTAGCCCAGGTTGGCCTTGAACTCACAGTGATCCTCCTGCCTCAGCCTCCTGAGTACTGGGATTATAGGCATGCACACCGTCCCCGCTTAGGAGTACTTCTTGAGAAACTACAGTAGCTCCTGTTTATGGGATCAGCGTACTAGAACACAACATAGACTGCTGTAATTTCCCCTAAGCCACCCATATGAGTTTACATTCCATGAAGTTTTAAACTCAGTAGTTTGGGTATCAGGATCAAAAACTGCTTTAGTGGTGCGATGAAAGCTGAAGATCATTTCCTCCCAAAACGCTCTTAGGACAAAAAGTATAGGTGATTTCTTCACACACCTTCAGTGACGTTTACTTATCGACTCTGCTGTCCATTCAGCCAACACACATGTGAAAGTCACAAAAGCTATGACTCCCGCATCCTCCCAGCACCCTGTGTGTTCACAGTCACACATAGTTTTACAAGATAGGATTCACTAGCAGGAAATCTTTGAAAGGTTTTCAGTGAATCATGAAAAATGGCATGGAGTTATTTATTAGTGACCACCTGCAAGGTCCAGACTCTGAGTGAGTTAATGTGAGACCAGGCGCCGAGGGGGCCCACATGCGCCAGTGGAAGGACGACAGGGTAACTCAAAGAACCCGAAGCAGGCACAGTACAGAGCCGAGCGCCACCTCCGCACACGCCTGTTATTTGCACATGACCTGACAGTAACTCCACTCACCCAGAACACAGTAACCTCTACATAATGAGCACGCACATTGTATATCATGCTTCCTGCTTCTGGCCTGGATATTTTACATTGGTTTCATTTATTTCTACTTCTGGGTACTACCCTGGGGAAGGTAGCCTTTTCCGGGAAGCAACTCCACAGTTTGTCCTGCTGTCTTGCTTGTTTTGAAAATGTAATGTGTTCCAAGGGAACCGAGAGGACAGGATGTGATCAGGACGTGAACTCTGTGTCTGCCGACATGTGACTCTTTCTACGGGAAGCACTAGGACAACGCCGAGCCGCCCCTGAGCTAAACCTGGTCACACAGAAACGTAAGAGCCACAGGCACCTACCGTGAGTCACGCAACATGCTGTCCCCATCCAGTGAGGGTCACGTGTCATCGACTTCAGATTACAGGCCGTGTCCCCTTCACAATACCCACTGCCACCCTTCCCTCATCTGCCCCCACAGGCAGACTTCAGGTCTCGGGGAAGTGCCACATGGGCTGTCGCACTGTGTGTTTTTGTTTTCCAGTGCTGGAGATTGAACCCAGGGCTTTCTCACCAAGCTGCGTCCTCGGTCCTCTCCTTTTTTTTTAAATTTTGCAAAAGGCTCTCACTAAATTGCCCAAGCGGGGCTCAAACTTGTAATCCTTCTGCCTCAGCCTCTGGAGTGCTGAGATTACAGGCTTGTGCCACCACACTCCGCTTGTTACGTATTTAATTATTTAACATAGGTAAAACTATGCTACATTTAAGTCCTAGTTATGCCTCTAATGCATTTTTGCTCATAAGCCCTGTGGTTTTGTTTTTGCAGTACTGGTGAATGAACCCAGGATCTTCTCACTGAGCTGTGTCCCCAGTGGTCTTTTGTGGGTTGTTTTGTTTTGTTTTGTTTTTGTGACAGGGTCTCACTAAGTTTCCCAGGTAGGACTCAAACTTGCAGTTCTCCTGCCTCAGCCTCCCTCAGTGCTGGGATTATAGGCCTGTGCCACCATACCCACTTCTTATTGCATGATTTCACAAAATGTGGTGAGTTTTAGAACCACTTAAGCTTTAGTAGAGCGGACTGCATACTAAAATAAGTGTCCTTACTTCTATTATTAAGCCTGGTGTGCCTACTTGATATACTGGCTGTGTTCAATGTTGTATTTCATTTAAATGGGGCTGCCTAATCATTTACTGCATTGATCTTCTCCCCAAAAAACAAGTTCAGAAGCAGACTTACGTAAGGCTAATGTTTTGTCTCATGCAACCCATGTTCCCATCCTTTGAGGGGACAATGCCATTACGTAGGAGGAAATGAGCCCAGAGTGGCCAAGTCACTCTCGGGTGGGGTGAGCTGGGATTTAAGGGACCCTGCTACACGGCAGACAAGGTGTCTTCCCTGTCCTGGTCTCTAAGGGAAACAAGTGTCCCGAGCACGGGCACTGAGGGAGTCCTCCAGGGCCACTTTAATCACACATTTGCCATCACAGGGAGGTGGGCCCCAGGGAGTGGCAATATCTGGTGGTCTCATACACACACACACACAGAGTCAGTGACGAGGGTGAGGGCCAGCGCACTGCTGTTAAAAACTTTAGAAAATTCGATGTAACAGAGTTTATCCGAACAAAGAACAATTCATGCATCAGACAGCAATCAGAACCAGGAGGGGTTCAGGGAGTTCGCCCAGCAGCGTGAGCAGTGGGCTTCTGCCTTATCTGGGTGTGAGCTGCTCAGCTGGCCACCTGTGACTGGCTGAAACCCCAATATCTGTTACAAGAAAATATACAGTATGCCTCTGTACTCCTAAATTATGTCTCAGTTGGTTTATATACTAAGGTAACCCGGGATTTAGTATAGAGAAACTCAGAGCACGAGACCATGTCAGGCTGTCCAGTAACTACTCATTTAACAGGACCAACGCCTCCAGAGCACATGAGGGCCATTTCCTCTCCTGGGTCTTCTTGCTCAGACTCTGAGTGAACAGAACCCCGAGGACCTCCCCTAGGTACGCAGCCTAGGTACGCAGCTTCCTTCCGCAGCACAAGGAAGATCCTCAGGCTCCATTCAGGATTTTAGTTTAGATTCATTAGAAGGACAGAATATTCATCTGGGCAAAAGCAGCCAGATGAAAACACAGACTGGGAGAAGATCTCCTTCTGGATGCCCTTCAGAGTTAAAGACAGAAAGGAACACACACTGCCAGCTCTGGAGGCTGCGTCCCCCCTGCGGAGATGCGGCAGGGGCTCCCAGGCGAGGACAGCGGCACGCCTGCGGCAGCGTCACCACAAGCCTCCTGCTTTCTGCCTGAGCGGCCACAGGAGCAAAGCGATGCCCTCTTCATCCATCCGAAATGGAGCTGAGGAAGATACTTGGCTTTAGAGTAAGTACTGAAAAACGGAAGCTCCCACAGTCAGTGACACAGCAAGCGTTTGCCACCGGTACAATGAAAGAATCTGAGATCGCCCCAGCCTTCCCTAAGAAGTTAGCTAAATCCTCCTTGCCTTGAAATCCCCCATGACACTCATTTTGCAGTCACTATTGGGAAACCACCCATAATATTCCGACAGAACGTTCCTTTCATACAGACAAAATATTTGCTATAGCAATTAGACATTAAGAGGGGGAAAAAACTGAATACATTTTTCTTTTATTCCAAAAATTCTTTTGTTGTAATTTTCAGTTTGTAAGTACTGTCTACTTTTGACATCACTTACATTTTATTGAGACAAAGGTCTCCCTTTATCTCTGGTTTTATAGTGTGTTTAACTCTGGTTTTACTGCATGCTAATATTTTAATTTAAAGATAGGATAATACTTTCAATTCCAAGTGACTCGAATGGCACGGTGGTGCTCCCATATACCACCAGGAATAAAATTGATGTTAACCTTCTCCCCTTATAGTCCACAATTTCAGCAGCTCTTTCAAGCACACAGGCCCAGACAAGAGCTGCCCCTTCTATCTTTGATCACTGCGGATCCTAGAAATGAAAGTCCCTCTTGCAGGGGCCGCCATTGTCCAGCAAGGAGCAGTGTCCTTCTATGAGCCCTCTCAATTGGCTTAGATAGAAAAATGGTTACCAGAGGAACAAGACCTTTCTTCTAGAGCCTTTTTTCATATTCACGTTTCTCCTTTTAAAATTGGACTCTGGCTCAGATCAGATGTCCGTGTGGGTCCTCCTGACCCGTGACCCGGAATGCCTCCCTTTCTTACAGAGCTCTCCGCCCTCACCTGCCCAACTGTTCAGGAAGCGCACAAATCTCTCCCCTTCCTCCACGAGGCACAGACAGTTCCGACAGCGGCCAAATGAGCCTCCTGATCCCCGCTCTCCTTTGGTAACTGCTGGCCCACACAGATGAAGCCTTCCCGTTGTCTTGTCCCCGTGCCAAGAAAGCGACACAGGCATGGACTTCATCAGCGCATCCCTGACAGGGCTCAGGTTTCTGTCCCTCACACATCTTTACACTGAGATTAAAAGGCTTTTCAATCCAGCTGCCCACGGGTCTCATCCGTACTGCATCTTGCTCCTGCGGGTCACACCTGCTCCCGTGAATGGCTTGCTTTGATGACCTCGGAACAGTGTTCAAAGCACTGGGTTTGCTTTCGGTTCCCACCCCACACATTGGTCCTTGGCCTTGCGTGAGTAGCGTTCAGATGAACTATGGGCTACATGGGGTCTCTGTATTTGGAAGTATTTAAAAAAGTAGTTTCCCATCTCAAATACTTTTTCTTTTACTTGAATTATCTTTGTTCCTACGGACACCCTTTATTTCACTGTATTATCTTCCACCTTCACACCCCAATCTCCCTACAATTGCCATCTTTTAAAAAGGTTAAAGGTTAGGCCAGGCGTGATGGTGCACATCTGTCATCCCAGCACTTGGGAGGCTGAGGCAGGAGGATCACTGTAAGTTCAAGGCCAGCCTAAACTGCACAGTGAGACCCTGTTTCAAAAAAAAAAAAGAAAGAAAGAAAAAGCCATACCAGAATCTTACACACTCTAAAGAAAAGCTGTCCTGCTGGTATTCAGACAAAAACTGAGCTTTAGAAGAATATACTGGAAATATTCAAGCATTCCTCAAGTTGCCTATGCAGAACTCCAACTCTCCATGGGCAAAAAGTACATGAAATTCAGGCATTCTTATTCTGTGCTCCTACTGCAGACACCTCAGCACCAAGTCCTACTCTTCCTCAAGTTTTGGCCACTTCCAGATGAGTCATTAGATTTGCTTCCTCCATACGGATGTTTTCAGGCTGTCTGGTGAGTCAGAAGTCTGCGCGAGGGGAGAGATCTCCTGCTCCATTCCCAGGGCTTCACCAGGTCCTTGTAAGATGGCTAGGAAAGGTGTTCGGCTCAGTTTTTTCCTCCAAGGACCTTTCCTACAATCCTGAACCAGCCTCTGCCTCAACAAGCTCTTTTTAATGACCAGCATCACCAGCACTGTATGCCCTCAGCCCAGGAGGGCAGCGTGATGGCTCCTGAGGCTCCTCGATTGAGCCTGGTTTGCTTTTCCTTCTACTTCAGTCATTTTCTTCTTGCCTTGAGAAGGTCCCAAAGCTCTTCAATGCAAGCTGGCAACTTTCAAATAGATGTCTTCCAAGGGAAGCAAGACAATTCTTGGATATGGTACTGTTAGGGCTTATGTCTAAATGTGCCCCCAAAGCCTCATGTGGTCATAGGTGGGGTCATTTTCAATCCAGCTGCCCACAGGTCTCACTCCGTACTGCATCTTGCTCCTGCGGGTCACACCTGCTCCCGTGAATGGCTTGCTTTGACGCCCTCAGAACAGTGTTCAAAGCACTGGGTTTGCTTTCAGTTCCCACCCCACACATTGGTCCTTGGCCCTCCGTGAGTAGTGTTCAGATGGACCATTTTTTTTTTTTTTTTTTGAGACAGGGTCTCACTTCCAGAGGCGGCTGGGTCTAGGGTGTGCGCTGCTGGGATCAAGGATGTGACACTGAGATTGATTTATGGTGCGATGCTAGGGTTAAGGATGTGAGTGGTACATGCCCGAAGGGTGGGTAGCCTGGAGAGGATTTAAGGGAGAGAAAGAGGGCTGCTCCTGTCTCCACTTGCCATGTGTCACTTGCTGTTTGCTGCCTGCTGTGTCACCCTGCCTTGGAGCCAGTCAATTATGAGCTGGAATCTCTGTAAACTGTGAGCTCAGTAATGCGCTCCTCCTTTAATTTGGGCGGGGTCAGGTATTTTAGCAACATGAAAAGTCACTAAGGTAAGTGTCTATAAAAAACATTTTTAACTTTTTTTAGATAAAATGTTTACAATTACGTAAAGTTACTCTGAAAATGGTTAGTTGGGAGCACTTTCCAAAGGGTAATTTGGCAACCTAGTCAAAAAGCCTTACCATATGAATACCCTTTATCATCTCTACTTTAAAATATATCCTAAGCAAATAATTATGAGCCCAAGATGTTTCTGTAAATGCATTTATTATGGCACACATAGCAGTTACAGAAAAAACTGGCAACAATTGAAATTAATTAACCCAGTTGGAGGGTTAATTAATTGTTATTTCAGAAATGGATACTCATTCATTGAAATTAACATTGTGGATGAACACTGATTTGTCCAAATATTTACAATATATTGCCCAAGCTCACTCTGCAGAGCCAGTTTCTCCCTCACTCTTCACTTTTACTTTTTCAAATAAACTTTGCTACCGTTAAAAAATATTAAGATACACAATGCCAATGGTTGCAAATCACATCCTGATTTTTAAAAAGTTAAATGTGGAGTAATGTCCATATTAAGATCAACAAAAAGTAAAGTGTATGTGTGTAAAATAGTTACAACTTCAGAATTAGGAATAATTTTAGACAAGAGACAAAAGGCACATGGAAAACTTGGCTGTTCTAAATTTTATACTCCTGTACACTAAAAGGGACCATACACAAAGTGAAAAGACACGCTACAGACTGGGAGAAGATATGTGCAACGCATATAATTGAGAAGTGACTAATACGCAGCATATATTAAGAATTCTTCACATTAAAGAGAAAACACACATAGCCAGACACAAATGGACAAAAATATACGAAATGGCAATTACAAAAAAGGAAACCAAAGAACAATAACAAAAAATAAAATGAAGTGGTTCAATAGCAATGCTAAAATCAAGGAAATTAAAATTAAAATGACAAAAACCATTCATACTTGTGAGACTGACCTAAACAAAAAAAATCTGGCTGGGGATATAGCTTAGTGGCACAAGCACCTGCCTGACAAGTGCAAGGTCCTAAGTTTGATTCCTAGTACCAAAAAAATAAATAAATAAAAAGGCTATAAAGTCAGATTTCTGCACAGCATGGTGGCGCATGCCTGTAATCTCAGCACTTGGGAGGCTGAGGTAGGAGGATTGCCCAGAGTTCAAGGCCAGCCTGGGCTACAAAGTGAGGTCAAGGCCAGACTGAACTGCACAGTGAGACCCTGTCTCAAAAAGACAAAAAAAAAAAATCTGGCCAGATATGGTGTCCACACTTGTAACCCCAGCATTCTGGGAGGCTAAGACAGGCGGTCATGAGTGAGAGCCCATCTGGGGCAATTTAGCAAGACCTAGAATGAAAAAGAGGATGGCCTAAGGATGTAGCTCATGTGAAGGCCCTTGATTCAATCCCCAGTTTTGAGGAGAAAAAATATCTGCCAATGCTAAGTTTTCGCAGAATGCTCACATGTGCTCAAAGGCATTTAAACTGGGGAGCTACTTGAGAAAGTAATTTGACAGTTATCTACTAACATTGCAGAACTTCACCCAGTTCCATGACACATCTTATTTGTGTGTGTGTGTGTGTGTGTGTGTGTGTGTGTGTGTGTGTGTCCTTTTTGTCTTTTTAAGACAGGGTCTTGCTATGCAGTGCAGGCTGGCCTTGAACTCACTATATAGCCCAGGCTGGCCTCGAACTCGCAATGATCCTACTGCTTCAGCTTCCCGAGTGCTGGGATTATAGGTGTGGGCCACCACGCCCAGCTGCTCCATCACACACCTAAAGAAACACACAGGTACACAAAAAAGGCACCCACAGAAAACCTCATTGCAGTGTTGTCTGAAAGCACATATAATGAAACAAGAGAATGCATACATTTTTACAACAAAATACCGCAGGTAGGTTAAATGGATGTCCCCATTTCCAGGTATCCTCACGGAGGGTGGGATCAGAGGAGCTCACAGGACTTGCAATGTACTGGGAAAGGCTTATTCACCAAGGGGTTAAAAAAAGGCAGGGAGGAGTTCTCCAGCAAATGCAGCATAATGCAGACGGGATAAAGTTGGCTGGTAAGCCCACAGGAATTTCTTTTATTATTCACCATTCTTATCTGCATACTAATAATATTTTATAATAAAAATAAATAAAGTTAAAAGCATATTCTGTAAGACTATCAGATTCTGTTAGGTGTGTGTTTCAGGGTGTATATGTCTGTTTATGTAGCCTCTGGCAAATTCCTTAGGGTTTCCTCTCCTGCAAGACCTCACAATGCTGCAAAGACTGCATGAACTACGCCATGCACAAATCTTGGCAGTCCCCAGCACACGGTAAACGCTGATACCGCAGTAGCTGTTATCCATGGTCAGGAAGAAGACACACACAAGATGCGTAAAAAACATCAATGGTTAAACCTAGGTGGGTGTTTATTGCTGCTGCTGCTGTTGTTGTTGCTCATTTCCCTCTATTCCTTTTCTAACATTCCATACAGAGGCTTTTATTATAAGATCAAAGAAAGAAATTCAAATAAGGGCAAATGAGGAAGTGAAATCACCTATCCATTCACTCAAGGAAGCCTTAGCACTACATCGCTCTGGAAGCCAAACACTGTGTGAGGAGCGGAGGACGCGAAGATGGATGGGATAATCCCTGCTCCTGCAGCCCTCGAGAAAGCACAGTGAAGATGAACGTTCATGGTTCAGTCGCGAATACAGAGGCAGCACAGCAAGGGCACCTCATCGCCCAGCTGCCGGTGAGGCTCAGAAATGAGGCTGAGATGATGAGCGGAGCCAGAATGCGTGCTGTTGGGCAATACCTACACGTGTAATAATCCTTGCAGAGTCCAGAACTAAGCCATGTTCAGCAATAAAAGAAGCTGGGGGAAAGGCACATACAATCCCTTAATCCACAGCTACTCAAAGTATGGTCCACAGCTCAAACTGTTAAAGAGTTTTACAACCAGAAAAGTATAAAAGGTGCTTAGCATTTAGAAATTTTGGTGCCTCTGACACTGCCACATCCGAATATGTGATCAGTAGTGGCATCCTTTCAACAGAGTACAGACCAAAGTACCCGTAATCCCAGCACTGTGGGAGGCTGAGGCAGGAGGATTGAAAATTCAAGCCCAGCTTGGGCAACCTGCCAACTTAGTAAGACTCTGTCTCGAAATAAAAAATAAGGACTGGGGATGGAGCTCTGTGCAAAGGCCCTGGGTTCAATCTCTAGAATAAAGGGGTGAGGAGAGGAAAGAAAGAACAAAAGCATGGATTCACAACAGACAGAAAATCTAAAAACAACACAACAGTAACGCTAACAAAAAAAAAAAAGGATGAGTTCTTCACAGTTGGAGAAATGCTGTTTTAGAAATCCTTGGGTAAGGCGCTGGCTACCACTAAAATTGAGCTTGGAAAGAAATCCAGTGGCAGCAGCTGGTTTATAGCTTAGCAGAGACGCTCCAAATTCCAACAGCTCTTAGAGTCTCCGCAAACAAAACACCAGAGAACTGTGACAAGGCTGTCCTCCTGGATGGTGTCTCCAGGACCACCTCCACAGAGTATCTCCGGGCCTCTAAGACGGAGCATGGGGACAGGGCAGATGGCAAAACCGAAAGATCTAGAAAATACCCCTCCTCAATCAAATTCTGCTCCGAGGCAGGAAACGGGGCAGCCAATGACCGCGGGAGAAAGGGACGGTGTGAAACGGCAGGGCTGAGGGAAATCGGCAAACACAACGCCCTCCCTTATGTAAGAAACCGCAGCAGTGCGCTGGCTGCCAGGGGGAAATAATGTGCCTCTGTGTGCGAGGGGAGCAGGAGCTCGCAGACCAGGCGTGCTTGTAGTTTATCGAAGCCTTGTGCATATGGTCTGTTAATGAGCACTCGGACCCCAGAGTGGGCTCGGCGCTGACAAAAACCAGATGCAGGGCCAGCTGACCAACGCGGCCTTGCTTCCCACTGCCCCCTGCCTGGCCCACTGTCCCACAGCCCCCTCAGCTCCCCTTTAACGGACATTTGCGACGTGGAAACCTCAGGCCCTTGCGGCGGCTTCTTTTTGCGCTAATTCAGTTACCAGCTACAGAGCACAGGAGGGCGCAGAGACAGGGAGAAGAGGAATGAGGGGGTGCACGGGGAGCGAGGCGGCCCAGGCTTCGGACCCTTCGGGGCTTGAGACACACAGATGTGCGTGACCGCTTCAGGGCCACAGTGCTCTCCGCTGCAAGCCAGAAGGCCAACACGGCAACCCGAAAACCAGACCCACGGGATCCCAAGTGAGCCTTGCTCCCATTACTCAATAAAGGAAACTAAAGAGCTGAGGAGAGAGCTGGAACCAGACGGAGTCGGCTGGAGGCCGGAGGAAACAATCTAGTTTGGCTCCGAAATGCCTTAGTGAAGACAAGCCATGCTCCACACAGCGCACGTCAGTGCCCGAAGGTCCTCTGGGACCAGGGAAGAGCGCTCTGATCCATGAGGGGCATGGATTTGAGCCCCAAACCCATCAACCCAGTGAATGACAGCCATCAGGCTCCACTTTCTCGCTCTTGGAAGGAAAACGCAATGCTCTTGTCACAGTTGCTCTCTCTTTGAGGCATCAGAGAAGCGGGACGCACTCACCCAGGTGGAGGGAAGAGGGGAAGAGAGAGCATCTAAATGTGTTCGTTTATTTGTTACAAATGCGTCCTCGGGCCCACTTTGTGCCAAACTCCTGCCATCTCGGCATTCGCAGCCCAGTGGAGGAGACACAACACACAGCTCCAAGTGTGAGAAGAGTTACAGACAGACATGCGGTGGTTTCACTCTGACGGCCAGAGAAGGATTCCCAGAATTTCTGATTCAGCTGTGTCTTGAAGACACACACGAATTAACAGATAAAATGTTGAGAGAGCTTTCAGAAGGGGCAACTAGCATGGAGGGGGGTCTTCAGTCTCAGGATGGTACATCTATCAAATGAAAGTAAATTAACAGGATTGGCACTTAGAGAGCAGGACAGGGGCTTCCAGGGAAGGCTGGAGGGGGAGATGCGGTCACATCAGGTGGGGCTATGGCTTGATTAAGGTTTTGGGAATTCATCCTTAAAGACAGTAGGAAGCCACTGTAGCATTCCAAGTGGTGAAAGGTCATGACCAGAGTTTTATTTTAAAAGATTAAAATTGCTGGGTGCAGTGGCACATACCAGTGGTCCCAGCACCCTGAGAGGCTGAGGCAGGATGACCACAAGTTCAAACCCACCCTGGGCGACCTAGTGACTTAGTAAGACCATGTCCCAAAATAACGTTTTTTTTTTAAAAAAAAAGGAGTAGGGAGATGGCTTTCTGTGAAGGCTCTTGGTTCAATCCCTAGTATAATATTACAAAAAAAAGATTAAAATAAATTAGAAGGACAAGAACAGTTATCTGACAGGTAAAGGTACTTTAGTCTAGAACACGATACAAGCATGTCACCAGCTGGGCAGACTTAAGAATTATTTAAGAAACAGAACCATGGGACTGGGGATTTAGCTCAGCGGCACAGTGCCTGCCTGGCAAGCGTGAGGTCGTGAGTTCGATTTCCCAGTACCGGAAAAAAAAAACAAAAAAAAAAAGAAACAGAATCATTATTTAACAACTTCCTGGAATACCACTCTGTGCCAGGCACTGTGCTAGGCGCTGGGCATACAGTGGTAAATACGACAGGCATGATCCCTGTGCGTACTGGAACTTAAGACAGTGGAAGGGAGACAGCCACTCGGTCAATCATCACTTACATTATACTTGCGAGAGACGCAAGGACAAGCAAGGGGAGATGAGCGCACAGTCCAGAGCCAGGGGTGAGGCTGGATGACAGACTGCGTCAGGAAGGAATGAGAGATGGATGGCCCGACAGTTGCCTGGGGAACAGTGGCTCCATTATGAGGAGGGAGGCCCGATTCCAGCCAGCCCAGGGTTGGCAGGATAATGAACTCCGTTTTACACAGGCTGGGTAAAGATGCCCAGATGGAGAAATGGCTTCGAGATACAGAAAAATGGCTTGCATCAGACTGCAAAGGAAGCCAAGGGAAGGGACAAGGTGACCAGGGGAGAATGCAGAGCGAACACTGTAACCAACATTTATTTAATGACAAAGCGGTACTGGGAATTGAACTCAGGACATTGCGCTTGCCAGGCATGGAAAATCTTTGGTCTATGAGGATCGATTTAGATGCTACAGGTACATATCCTCCAGAAAGGTAAAGGCAATCAAATGCAAATTCAAGAAGGTGCATGTGCTGTGTGGTGGTACCTCGACCCCTCTGCCATAACATGCCCTCTGTCACTATTTGAATTAGGGACACAGAGTTCATGCTCTCACTGGTCCCTAACTCCTAAAGTCGCAATACCAAGAATAAATGAGTAATCTGCCTCATCTGGACCCCTTAAACTTGTAAATAAACTGGGGAGAATGAGGGTAACAGGTGTATGAATTGGAAGGGTCTCTGGAGAAACCACGCCCACTCCAGCTTCCAACATGGAAGAGCCAACAGCAAGCCTGTTGTCTTTGCTGCTGTACACATGGCAGTGCTGGCGGCCACCTCCCGTTAGGCAGCTGTTTGAGACAGTCTTCAAAGTACGGAAGGTTCATTGTCATCTTAGGGATGGACACTGGGCTGGAAAACTGGGACTCCTGTACCCTTCTCTGAGCCATCATCTGTGTTCAAGTGGGTGCTAGCCACCCTAGACCCACACAGGGCCTTGTCAGACTCTAAAAGCTCCAAGGAAAAGATGCTGCTCAAACTCGGCCTCAGAAAAGTGTTTCGGCCTCTGGCCATAGGAGGGAGGGGCCCCGGCTTCCCTGGGCCACTCAGTCCGCCAGGGGAGAATAAAGAGCGTTTTCAGAGCCTGGAGTTTTCCAGCTGCCTGGAAACAGGAAGTGCCCAATCCCGGAGAACAGTAACCCTCACACACGCCCTACATAAAGACATGGTGAGCCATTAGCCCTAATTGCCTGTGACTGACACAGGAGTGAGGCCGGCCTTCCAGGCATTTGCTCAGTGGAAAGAAAACAAACAGCTCACTGGGGAAACAGGCGGCCATTTTCCCTCCTTTCAGCCAGAGGGTTCTGTGCTGTTCCCCCAAAATTATAGCATACAGATTGGAAATCACAAACCAAACAAAGGCTTTCAAGTATTCCGCACCACGTATGAAACAAATCTCCATAGGGAGCAGTTAAGACACAAGCAATTGATTAATAAGCTTTTCACACAATCAAACACTTGACAAAGAGTTCTCAGAGGTGCCTCTCAACAGCCAATTCTCCCCAGACTTGGGGTGTTACCAATTATTTGCAACAGCTTTTATTTGGTCCACACACTTTATAAACAGACGGGAGTTAGGTAGCAGACCAAGTGTATGTGTGGAAGATATCATGTCTTCAGAGTTAGGATTTTTAACAACTGGGTTTTCAAAAGTGGCTTTCAGAACAACACGGCACATTACACATCAAGCAAGAGACCGTACAGGCGTGCTCTCTCCTTTATGACTTCTAAGGTTCAGAAAATACCCTTATGAACCACCACCAAGCCAACTTCAGCCAGGTCACCAGTGACTGAGCGACATGGACGCTGGTTTCTTCCACACCAAACAAGTAACACAGACGGACACCAGGACCGGCCCTGACTAGCTGGCGCGGTATGACCAGAGGCATTCTCTTCCTCTGTGACTCCTTGACAACCGCTTCACTGTCACTCACGGGGTACAACGTCCAGCACTGGGCAAGCGCTCCCCATGCCCCTCTATCTGAGTCCCTTAGCTTCCTGGGGAGACGCCTACGCTTATCATCTCCACCTTCCCAGCTTGTAAGTCACCTGGCCATTGTAAGTCACACAGGTGGGGTGCAAAGGGGGGTTCAATTTCAGATCTGCTTGATTTCCGAGTCCCTTCTCTTGCTCTCCACTTACTATAAAGGCAAACTTGAGCTCCTTTTGACTTCCCTGGATCCTATTCTCATCCACGGTTTTCACATCAGACTTCACCCCAAACTGATGGGTGGCAAGGAAACCGGGAGTCCAGGTTAACATCAGCCCCGGCCACGGAAACACACACGGTAACACTCAGCATCTCAAGGCCAGGTCCTCCACAGAAAGTTAGGGTAAGACTCAGCACAGGAGAGCTGTTTTCTAGGCAGGATATAGGCCAGTGAGGGCAAACCTTTTAGAATTTTCAATGACACAAACAGCCCACTGTGGCACGCCTGCCATAGGTTTGCGAACACCCTCTCCCACAACTCAGGAAGGGGAAAATGAGCTCCTTGTTTCACAGAAGCCACTCTCTTTCAGTCAAGCTGCTCAAGTCGTGCCATAAGGTAGCACTGATTCTGCCCAGATGATTTAGAGGCTCTTTAAGATTTATGTAGAACAAGCAGTTCTCCACACCTCCCTTGTTTCTGTGCATGGCGGGCTCCCCGGGGACTACTGGCCGCTAGGTAATAAATAACCACGTTGTTTCAAACCTGCTAAAGGAGGCTCATTCTTGGAGAGGAACACGCTGCTGCAGGACAGAAGGCTACTCACCCGGCAGGCAGAGCATCGGGGGCCTGGGCAGCCGTGGGGAGCTGCTGTGTGCTCGAAGTGCTGGGCTCCTCTCCTTCAGCCGGGGTGGCCGGAGCAGGGAGAGAGGTCGTGTTGGGGTTGGGGGTCACGCTCAAGGCTGAGGCAGGTGGGGACGTCACACCAACAATGGAAGCTTCTTCAGGGTCAGTGGCTGCAGTGGATTCATCATTCACTGCAAATGTACAAACCATATTTTGATGATCAACTACGAATATGAATTTTGTTTACACTTATGAGGTTCAATTTATGGGCCAACACCGTATCTACACTGTCACCCTCTGTGTATCAGGCAATGGTAAAAATTTCACATAACGTAATTTAGAAAATTATAACAAGTCAGTAATGCCTGCATAAAGGAAACTGGGGAATGAGCCTCAAATAAATGTATTAAATACTACCTCTTCTATAGCTTTATTAATGTTTTCTATGGTTTCTACGGTTAAATTTATGGATTAAAGAGTGGTAGTAAAAGTGAGGGTAAAAGGGAAACATGGTGGTAAACAGAGCAAGACCAGCGCCAAGTTCGTGGGTCACCTCCTTCTCTTTAAATTTGTCATCTGCCTGTAAGACACAAATAACATCTCCCTTCAAAAAACTTTACACACACTAGCGGCAGAAAACTTCCAATAATGTGCTTATTCTCTTAAAGATTCACGCTCAAAGGAAGAAGCAGGCATTGAAGCTCTAGATGAAAAAGAAGGGACCCGAACACTAAGGACTCGTCTCCAAGGTAACAACAGACAAACAAACAGTGAAATCAGCTAGCTAGTCTCCTAGTTCCCAAGTCTTACTTCACCACTTCTTCACATTTTTGATGATCACTTATGGCCACAAGGCACTGCAATATCGCCTAACTCAAAAAAGGATCAAACAAGGTTTCAAAGACTTGGGATTCTTTGAAAATGGATGAACCATATGCAGAGAATTTTTTACATATGTGATTGCATATGTGTGTATTTATATTCGAATTTCACCCCAAAATGCCCGAGTCAGCATTTAGCATCCTCTTCCTAATTCAGAAATCCATTTTGTAGTCTCCCTGACAAATAGCTTACCCAAATTTCTTCTCCAACATTTCTTCTGCCAGGGCACTCACTACAGTCCACTGCTGAGCAGAAGAACTTGCAAGAAAACTTTTTCATATGTTAAGCCGAATTCCATGAGCTGGTTTGAGTCCCCCAGGCCCAAAGCAATGCAAAATAAGTGTCTGGTGTATTTTCTGTTTCTCATTAGTCTTCTCTTTTCCAGTAAGAAAGCGTACTATTTCCTCAATGTTTCTAGTTCACCATGCCCTTACCAAGGGGCAGTTCCTGTACATAACGACTTCTACCACCACTCCTAAATAATGAAATTAGGAAGGGAACATAGAAAATTAGATGCTATCAGATCAGCAGAGTCAGATTATCAATTTAAATGAGACTAGTTAACATTTACAGAACAGTGGGTGTGTGCCTAGTAAGGTCAAAAGCACTTTCAATTGTCTCTTTTAAAGCTTCACATGCAACTCCATAAAGTTAGGTACACTGATAGCTTGTCCCTGGTTTACACTGAAGAAACCAAAAATTGAAGAGGTTAAATAGCCTGCCAGGGTCATAGAGCATTCAATTCAAATCCTGTTTTCTACCTCAAGGGCCTAAATCACTTACTCACTCCCTGCTACTTCCTCTTGCACACATCTTTTAATGCAACCCAAGAGGAGGACAATCCTGAGCAACGACTGGATCTTACTGGCTAACATGAGATTGGTGGAGAGCTGCAACTCAGAGGTCTTCACATGATGTGGCCCCAGCTTGATGCTAACAAATGCCCAAGAGCTAGAGGCTGGGAACCACCCTGATGGATTCACTTGCTCTCTTTCCAGTATAAATGCTGCCTGGCACATCTTGTGCAAAAATGTTTCCCCAACATAAATGCAAGACTTTGTATTTGTAATCCTTATTCTATCTCAGCCAACCTAGTAACACCCAAGAGATGGTTATTCTCTTTATGCAAATTATAAATTTTACTCAATTCCAATTTTACAAAAAAAAGTTACATCATGACTTTTTTCAAAGTCAGATAAATTCATTTTAAATTCAGTAAGGAAAGCTGAATCTATAAGATAATCATGGAAAGTCTAAAGCTGTTGGGGGCAGACTGTTCTCTAAAGTATTAAAATGTATCATAAACCTACAACAACTAAAACAGCATAGTACCAGTGCATAAATAGGCAGATGTCAGTTAAATAAGAAAGTTCAGAACTAGATTTAAATAATTTATGAGTTTACAAAACAGTGATATTCTAATTTTGTCATCCTGTCTTTACATCTTTTATTAAATACTTCCATAGTAAGGAAATGTCCTCTATTGAGGTTCAAATTGTAAAGAAAGGCCTGGAGAAATGCTTGACTCTTTCTCCTTATTTATTAGATTTCAGAATAATGAGTTGATTTCCTGCCACTGTCTAAAACTAAAGTTTTGTTTAAAAAGTATCAAATTTTATATTGAAACATACTTAAGGTATTTCTACTGTGGTGTTCTTACAGATACTAAAATTCTCCCCATTTTTAGTGGGATTAGTAGGAGGACAGCAGGGGGAAAAGCTCTTAAATTAACTTCAAATTCTACTGAAAACTTGCAAAATATCTATGAAGTAGGAAGGTGCCAAACACTGGACATATTATGCTATCATTTTAGTGTGGAAGTGTGTGTACATGTATTCACATATATGTTTGTATGGTCAAGAATATCTTTGGAAGAATAACAAACACAAGAACAGCTGCCTCTGAGGAGGAAACAAGATTGGCTAAATAGTAACAAGGCATTCTTTATGCTGTTTAAGCTTTTATACTTTAAAAGTTTTCATCTATATGTACTGTTATTAATGTAATTTTTATGAAATTGTTGACTGGGGAAAGAACCAATGCAGAGCCCCAGGGCACACGCATGGAGAAGTGCCTCCAATCCACACTCTGTGGAACCGATTGCTCACACAGCTGCTAATCTAGTTTAAGGGCTTCTAACAGGACCACATCTATGCCTGCTCATCCCAGGCCTGTGCTTTACCAGAGAAGCTCATCTAGGTTCCGTGTGACACTTTGAGTTCAGATTTGGAAACTGTTATGGGTTGTTTCTAAATGTCCCCACAAAGCTTCATACAGTCATAGATGGGGCTCTGCAAAGGTACAGGATCTAGAGTATGTGATGCTGGGGTTAAGGGTGTGCGGTTACTAAATGAGTCGCTCCCTATAGGCAGGTAGCCTGGATACAATATAAAGAGACAGAAAAAAAATCTGTTGCTTATAGCTTGCTGTTTGCTGCCTTTCTGCCTTCTGCCTGCCATGAACTGTTTCTCTTCTGTGATGTCCCTCTGCCACCCTGCCTGGAGCCAGCCAACTATGAACTGAAATCTCTACAAACTGTGAGCTAAATAAACCTTCCTCCTTTAATTTTGGGTGTCTTGTATGTTGTCCCTGCAATAAGAAAAGTACTAAGACAGAATTTGGAACCAAGTGGTGCCCTCTCAAGGGTACACTGCCTGGCCTCCCAGGCCTTCTTCTGAAATCTGGGTGGAAGCCTTTTTGACCCCACAACTTTTGCATTCTGTGTGTACCAAAACCAGCACCACCTGGATGATGTCAACGTCTGCTGCCAGCTGGAGCACTAGCCAGGTTTCCTTCTCTTACTAGGGTTCAAGTGTCCATGAACCAAGTCTAGGAAAGGAACAACTTCCCTAGACCTTTGCCATTCTGGAACATAGTGCTTTGGGACTCTCTTCTCAAAGCAAAGCCTTTACTTCTGCAATTTTGAGGTGGCAAAGGATGGAGTCCTGCTGGTTCTTGTGATGTCCTCAAGCCATCTTTTCTATCGTCCTCTTCTGTCTACAGCCATACTACCTGATCTTATCTATTGTCCTCTTCTGAAATACTTGGCCTTTCCTTGTTAGTCTTTTCAGTGACCAATTTCTCCTCTGCTCCATCTCTGTAGGGTGCAACTTTATTAGACCTTTTCTGGCCAAACTCAAAATGTTTTAAATCATTCTGCTGGGTTCTTTGCTCTTGATTCTCAACATAGATCTGGCTAAAAGTCTCCAACAGTAGCCATGCCATGGCCTCAACATTAAATTGCCTTGAAAGTTCTTCTGCCAGATTAATTAGTCCACCTATCTTAATCTCAGACTCAGGCAAAGTCTCTGGACATGAGCAAAACGCAGACAAACTTTTTGCCAAGGAATAACACACATTGTCTGGGGTCCAACAGCCAATGCAGTCCTTTCCAGCAGAAACTTCCTGAACCTGGTGTTTACTGGCAGCATTTCTATCAGCGTTCTGGTCTTCTGAGCTCTGACCAGAATCTCCCATTAAGTACAGCTGAAGGCATTTCTGGGCTGCTTGTTCAGTTGGCATCTCCAAACCTTTCCAAACTCTTCCCACAAGCCAGTTCCAAAGTCTCCTAAATCACAAGGTTAAGTATGGTCATAGTAATAACCTTGCTTCTCTGGTACCAAATTCTATATTAGTTTCTTTTCTCATTGCTGAGACAAAATACCCAATACCCAAAGTTCAAGGAGAAAAGGTTTATTTAGCTCCCTGTCTGTAGAGATTTCAGTTCCTGGTTGGCTGGCTAGAAGGTAGGGTGGACTGGCAGAGGAGAAACAATCCATGGTAAAACAGGGCAGCAAATGACAAGGAGCAGCAGTAATAAGCAACAAGTGACAAATGATTGCCACCTTAAGGCGGGGTAGCACTCACACCCTTAATCCCAGCACATATACTCCAGATCCAGCCACCTCTGAAAAACCCCGCCCATGACTGCATGAGGCTTTGGGGAACATCTAGGCACAAGCTATAACAGAAACAGAGAAATGTGAAAAACAAATCTCAATGAGCCTCCTGTGTCTGTACTGACAACCTTCTGCCCTCAGCATGTGTGTATACAGCCATATGCCACATTATGATGTTCTGGTCAAAGACAGATTACATATATGATGGGGGCCCCATAAGATTACAGGGCCTGGTGACACTGTAGCCATCTTGGTTTGTGTAAGCTCACCCTACGAAGCTCGCGCAACAATGAAATCACGGGTGAGTTTGCCAGAATGTGCCCATCCCTAAGCCACAAATGAGTCTCTGTACACGTTCTTACAGCACAAGAGCTCGAGAGAACCTCGGAGACAAAGCCACCTATCCCCACCCACAGTCAGAAGAAACTAGATGCAGACACTTAGCCACTAGCCCATCATCACCTGTCAACTAGTGACAGGGTGCCACACTCAAATATAACGAGGCTTCAAGTTGAGAGAAAAACCAAATTGTCAAAAATGAAGAGTTACAATTTCATCTGCCTCGGAGGAGTGCTGTGCTTTACGCGTAGTTGGGTTCAATACAGCCAACATTCTCTAACCTTTAAGCCTGATTATTTGATGTGTACACCTTGTCTCCCCCTAAAGCCTGTACTGTCTTGAGAGTGAAAAGAAAGTTGCTTTCTTCATTTGTCACTACTTCTGCTTCCCATGTTCTTGCACCCCGCCCCCAGCCCAGGGACCACTGGCCCATGCAGAGGCCATGGCACCCGCGGTCTCACTACTCAGCCCACAGCTCTGCCACCCTACTGTTGGCACCTCACTGAGTGTGATCGGAGGGCAGAGGCCTCACCTTATACTCTTACACTGTCCACAGCACTCAGCAAAATAGCACCTGAGAAATATCTGCTCAACAAGTACTCATTCAAAAAACCTAATAATCTAGCAAAACAAAGATAGTTGAAATAAAACTCCCTAACATTTGTGTAACACTATCATGTGCAAAACAGGTTCTTTGAAAAAAATTGTTTTAATTTTGGAATAATTTTTTATACATAGAAAAGCTGGAAAGATAGCATGCCCATCACTCAATTTCCTAATAGAACTATTTTTTTTTGAGACAGGGTTTCGCTGTATAGCCCAGGCTGCCTTTAACTTGCAGTGCTCCTGCCTCCGCCTCCCAAATGCTGTACCACAGTAAGAGTACCATCTTATATAATCGTGGCACATCTGTCAAAGCTAAAATATTAATTAACGCAGTATTATTAACCAGACTCTAGACTTTATTTGGATTTTGCCAGCTTTTCCACTAAGGCTCCTTTCCTGTTCAAGGGTCCAATCCAGGACTCCTCATCACCTTCAGCAAGTACACTTTTATTAGCTCATTTATCCTCCCAACAGACTCATGAGGAAAGTATTTTTCCCATTTCCCTGAAGCCAACACTGAGGCTCGCTGAGAGACCACTCAGAAAGGAACCATGTGGTCAGCAAATACCAGACCCGGTACTCAAACCAGTGCTCAATATGGGGACGGGGGAGGTGAGGGTGGCTTTGATGGGTCCCGTATGGGCACCAAGGACAGATGGGGTCAGCGGGTAAAATGGCAGAATAGGCTTTGATTGCTGCAACTGTGGGTATTTGACAAGGCTCCTTCTATGATGTCGGGTACACACACGAGCTTTATGAATCACATATTTATTCAGAACTAAGACACACTCTAGTCATAGTGAGCCAAAAAAAAGATTAGGAATTGATCGGAAATTCTTTTTCTTAATCCTTGACAGGCTGCCAGCTGGCTGTGCGTTCCTGATGTTCAGTGTGAGGGGCAAAGCCCAGACTCGGGGTGTACGCATGGGTCTTTCCGGCCCCCACATCCAGGAAGGCGACCACCACCGACCAAGTCTTTTTCAACTACAGTCAAGCTCCTAACAGACCTCGTGAAGCAGGCGGGATCGGTCACCTGAGAGACACAACCCCCGCACTCACAGTGCAGCCAGTCAGCTCTTCACAAAAGCAGCCAAAACCAGAATAAGAACTCCTCACTAGTATGACACAGGACAGGTGACCTTATAAAGAAAACAGCTAAGTTACATGGCAAAAAGCAGAAGCCCTCAAAAATGGACAAAGCCATGTCTGGTTATTGATGGGAAAATTAAATCCCTTTCCTGGTTGTAGACAAATGCAGTTCCCACCTACACTTGAGCACACTTCTAAGAATCCAAAGCCTGAAATTTGTTTTGAGAATCTATGAACTATCGAAGAGAAAAGGTAATAAGGCAGAGTTGATCCTCCCAGACATTAAAAAAAACATACTATATCAATAATCAAAAGCATAGGACTTGCTCAAAACAAGAAACAAAGAAACCCTCGCTGTATATAAGAATGTGGTAATGGGGGCTGGGGATTTAGCTCAGCGGCACAGCACCTGCCTGGCAAGCGCAAGGTCATGAGTTCGATTCCCAGTACCGGAAGAAAAACAAAACAAAAAAAAAGTGGTAAGTGATGAACACTAAGTAAAATCATGGTGAAAAAGCTATTTAACTAATGCCTCTGTAATAACAGGATTCCAGTACAGAGAAAAATTAATTTAGGGGTGGGAGGCAGCTCAGTGGCAGAGTGTGCTTGTAACTAGCACACACACTGTGTGAGGGCAGAGTGTGTTTGTAACTAGCACACACACTGTGTGAGG